TCTCTCTCTCTCTCTCTATGCACGTGTCGACATGTACACGCATGTACCTCACGAGTTTGCCTCACCTAGATCTGGGCAAGGGTCGCCGGCTATCATTGATGCCTTGACAACCCTGCCAGTCATAATTCAGAGAAGATGAAAGAAAAAAAAAGAAAAAAATTCACAAAATGATGTTGTTTGGAGCTCTATCTAACACGTTACATTGTCGACCGCGCCACATAAGATGGGCGGCGTTGACTAGATCGTTGCATTAGTTATTCTAGCCTAAATTGGTCGAAATGATGACAATGGAAAATTGTCAGACTACATTGAATAAATTGAAAAAATTGTGATCAAATTACCGGTCATACAATAGGTTTAAGACTCTTTGGACAATTTTCTCATTTATTAAATAATCTAGTCAAGGTGAATTTAATTGAGCTTGAAAAGTCAAAGTCAATTGAGTGTGAGATGAGCATCTCGAGCTCGAGTATTGAACTATGTTCACTCGACCACGCCCCTAAATTGAGAGACCCACGAGTTGTGGCCGATTTGCACGATGGTCACCCTTGCTCAAACTAGTCGACCACCAAATATCCTATGCTGGTTTGCATGAGAGAGAGAGAGAGAGAGAGAGAGAGAGAGAGAGAGAGAGAGAGAGAGAGAGAGAGAGAGAGCTAGGGTTTAATGGTCGGTAATCTGATTCCAAAGACGTCGAGGCCTTTTTAAGTTAGGTCAATGAGGTGATATGGCTCAATCTAGGCCGTTCAGTCAAGTTGATGTCTCAACTATTTAAAGGGGATAAATTTATAATGCGAACTTACCTTTCTAAATTTAGAAGAACTCCTATCCTCCCAAGTTTGCCTTTTGCGTTGTTGGAATCCTCACTTGTATCAACAGACATTACCATGGATAGATCATCCGATCCTAGCTAGAACTTACCTAAACTAATGTTGCCAAGTGATTTCATCTGATCTGCAATAATCCGTATCTTCATCCGAAGGGGACACTAGCACCTTAGGTTTGTCATTTTCGTAGCCATTACTCATAAATTGACTGGTACCCATGAAAATGTACAAGTTGTTTAATCCATAGAAAAGAACAACCCAAGGGACACATAAACACATACCATTAAATTATGACTCACGAACAAATGACATGTATACAAGTTGCCTTGGCCCTAGAAGTCGCCAAATAGTCCGTCCCTAGTTTAAGTACAAACCGGCTTAAATGATTGACAGAAGCGTCATGCTTTTTTCTTCGAATTTCCAACTTAATTGGGTGCCTATTCGAGATTTATTAATTTAGAAGTTATCAGAAGTCAAGAATGAATTAAATCAAAACTCCACCACATCTGGAAAAATTAATAAAAGATTCAAAAAGAAGTTCACATATTTTTTTTTTCCATTTTCAGCGTAAATAAAATGTAACGACACTCGTTACCGTTCAGCAAATATTCTCAAAATTCGGATTAGTCGCAACTCATTATTAACTAAATAAAACGGAATTTCGAAAAGAAAAAAGAAAAAAAAAAACAAAGGAGACGGCTTTTTTGTTCGACGCGGTGTACGAGGAATGCGTGGGACCACGCATGTGTGGGGCCCACGTGGTGGGATTCTTGGCCCTTTGGGATGGAATTTTCGGACAGTTCTTTTGAGGCAATATCTCGTGTTCGGTCGCCATTTCCCGCCCAGAATAATAAATTAAAAAATGAAGGATAAAAAAAAATTACTGCAATACTATGAAAAAATAATGCGGGGGAGAAAAAAAAAAAGAGAGGGCGCGGATATTTTTGCAAGTTGCGAAAAAAGGACATGACCCGATTTCGAAAATTCACTGCATTTGCAATACCCCAATAGAGACTCCCGTTTTAAATCATTATCTTGATTTGAATAATCTCAATTCTTCTACAATTAACACGAATCAACTAAATAGCAAGTATGAGATTTGGCCATTCTTTATTGTTGCCATGGAAAATTAAGGGTCGATATTAAAAATTTAAAAAAACATATGAAATGCTCGACCTCATGGAGTAACGTGGAAATTTACATGATATTTCTCAAGTCATAATTATTCGATGAAAAAAAAAATGCATCGAGCACCGAGGAGTACGAAGGAAATTCGGGTTGGGTTGGTCAGGCGGATCCAAATTCTTAGGCCTCCGGGCTGTTTCTTTCTTCTTCTTCTTTTGGAACTCATAAAAAGAGCGTTAAATAATATGTGGTTTTGTGAAGAGGAAACCCATTTTTGCGAGATCAATTTCCACACGTGACCAGATTAAGCAATCCATAAGGAAGACTTTGCATTTATTCTTTTAAGAGCCGGCTCGAAAACAATCCCACGTGACTTTTACAACAAAAAATTCATCACCGTGCATAAATTTAAGAACACACCCATTTTAGTTAGTGTGAGATTTTGGTGGTACTACTGCCAACTATTCTAAAAGCTTAAACTGTTAAATGAATGCGTGATTTAATATTTAATTATTCTAATAGTTAGGACCAAATAATCGGGGTCATCTAATCGTTCGGAACGTGACTCCCAACACGAACCGTTCGGGACCACAGCAACCACACGATCACATGACAGGACTCGGCGTACAAGCCTAGTCCCATTCACTCTCACTCTCTCTTTAGTGTCCGTCAGTTAAAACACAACTGTTGAACACTCGTTCTCTTCATCAGATGCCCCCAAAAGCAACTCGCTCTCCTGCCCACCGCAGACTCACTTGTCAATTGCCAGAGCACAAAATGTGCCATACGGGTGGCACAGATTAATTGTTTCTTTTTATGGGTTCGAGTCACGTAAAGTTAGCCATTATGAACAAGACCGTTTCTCCACGCGCGATGGAATTTAGCCAGAGAAATTGATCTGGACAGATATGAGGTAATAATCTTGGCGGAAAATCTCAGGAAAAATGACGAAAAAGTCACAAATTCTTTACTCCGGGTCGCGAATCGCGGTCCAGTAAAACACAGCCAGAAAGAAATAACGGAACCCAATAAATTTTTTACTCGATAATTTCGGCTAAATGGAGCGGGGAAAAAGAAAATAAATATATACGGAAAGTAGAGAAAAGCAACGGCAGGGCATGCTGGCGAGGGACTGGCGACCGTAGAGAGAGAAACATCATTAATGAGAAAAAGGCGCGAAGTTCAAGGTTGCCTGCCACACACACGCACGGTGTCGCTAACGGTCTCGCGACGGAAATGACCAGAAACACCCTCCCGTACGGAGGTTTAAACACCCCCCCTTTCCCGTAACGGTGGATTAAATTTTTAAAAAATCGGGGATTAGATTAAGCAGTGATTACTGATTAAGTGGGCTTTTTGTGCTGGGGGTTGGGTTCTTAATTTCGCTTTTTTTTTTTTTTGCATTATTTAGTCAAACGACGAAAAAGGGGGGGGAGGCGGGGCGGTGGAGGCAGTTGTCCCCGGGTCACGTGACCTGCGTCGCTCCTTCCAAGGGGCGAAAAGGAAGGAAAAAAAAACAAGGGAGAAAAAAGGGCCAAAAAAAAAAGGGAGAAAAAGGAAAAGAAAAACCGGGTCCCGAGTCAGCACCCGGTTAAATCTCACCCCCATCGGATCAGGGCCTCGGGCCGGGCCCACCTCGACACGTGTCGGCGTCTCTCGTGACCGAATTATGCGGCGCCTCGTAAATATCTCTCAACTCCTCCTCCCCCTTCCCCTTCCCCTCCTCCCCTCCCTCTCCTGTGGCCTCGCTGGAATCTCATTTCTGTCCCCGGACGCTCGCCGGAATTACACTAATTAAGGGAAATGTCGGAGGAAGTGGACCCACGATAATTCTTAATTATTTATTATATATATTTTTGTGAGTCAAAATAAGCTGTTATTTTCACAATAAATTAAGTACTGTCATATAAGCAATTATTATTTAGTAGATTGGTGCATTTGAAAAATTTGGGAAAACCACTTCTTACCTTACCAAAAAAAAAAAAAAAAAAAATTTGGGAAAACCAGGCTTGTTGCCATGTAGGCACGCGCTAGGATACCCTTCAACAAGCCCCCCCTCCCCCTCTCTCTCTCTCTCTCACTCACTTTTATTTTCATGTAGGCAGGAGCTACATTAGGCTCACCTTACACTCTTAAGACATATAGTCACGTTGAGATTATATACTTGCAAGAATCGCGTATCAAGAAAATATAAATCGGAGACCCATCAGCAGCTCGTGTTTTTTAAAATCCGGCTTACATAGAGCCTTTCCTGTCACGGCGAAAACGAATGAAAATCTCGATCAATTGATCCAAATCGGGCGTTGCGCGCTCTTGGAAATGGTCCCGTAAAATGCATGATATATTGTAAGATAAGAACTCTTACGGTTTGATAGGCGTTTTTTATAGTTTAGTTGGCTATATGCTGCAAATTTAGAAGCGAAAAATCTCGATTCACCTTACTAAAAATCAATTGATTTTTGGGGGGTTAAGATGGCAATCTCAAAGAAGGAAATTAAAAAAAGAAGAAGAAGAAATTATTCGAAAAACGAATTAGGAAATGCAGCTTGAATCCGGGGTGGTTCAGCCGTTTCAGAATCCTATAGAACAGGCGGAGTCTCCACCAGCAACCGTGCTTCCGCTCGCGCGACCTCTCTATATCTCTCCGCAAATCCACACCTCAAGAGCGCTCTCTCTCCATCTCTCTCTCTGCAACGGGTTTCGTTTCTTTGCTTCTTCCTCCACTTTCCGAGAAAATCCCCAGTCAAAAAGATCAGCAAGAGAAAATCCCAGAGAAAAACAGAGAGGAAAAAGCAAACCCGTCTCCACGGCGAGATAGGAATTGGCCCGAAGTAGCAAAGTCCTTTGGTAGCCTCAGCAGATTTTTGCTCGGCCCCCCCTTTTGCTCGGCCCTAGCTGGGGGGCGTGGCTCGATTCCCTCATATTTATTCCCCCCCCGCCTTCCCTTTTCCGGCAAAAGCCACCCTCTTCTTTTTCCCTCCTCAACTTTCCAGGAAAATCCCCTGCTTTTTTCCCTTCCCCCCTCCCCTCTTTCCTTCGGTCACTCCCTCTGCTTCTGGGTCGTCCCATCTTCTTTGCACACTACTGCTTCAGTGGTTTCGCCTTCCGTACCTTGTTCACTCCCTCCGCTTCTCTCTCTCGCTCGCTCGCGCGCGCACGCACGCTTTGCTTCTTTTGTTTTTTTGCGCCTCTCTGCTTTTTGCACTTCTCGCTTTACTTGACATTCGCTAACAGTCGCACCCTTTGAACCACCAACCTTTATCACACCAGATTTTTCCTGGTGCCTTTTTTTTTTGGGTGTTTGGTCGATTAGATATCTCTGCGTTTGAAGCTTCTCTTTAACGTGGTTCACTCCGACCTTTTTCTCTTTATTCTCCTCCTCCTCGTGTCCGAGTCTCAGAGGAATCTCTCCTTTTTTTTCGCACTCCCCTCCCTCTATATCACCAACCCCCCCTTTCTCTCCCTCGCTTCGCTTTCGATGTTAACAATAAGTCTGACCGAGAAGCTCCTGCAATTTTGAACAGAGAAGAAAAAGAGAGAACCATGGAAGCAACGACGTGTTTCGTGCCTCCTATCAAGCTCACCGAGCACCGAGCCCGCGCGAGGCTCCTGAGACCCGAGCCTGCCGGCGACCCCAGTACCCGACCCAGAGTCGTCCGGATATCGTACACGGATGGGGACGCCACCGACTCTTCCAGCGACGAAGAGGACGACCCGTTCGAATGTCGTCGCCGGAGAGTGAAAAGATTCGTCCACGAGATTGCCATCGACCCGTCGTGCTCGAGAGAGGGCCGCGAGGTCGTCAAGAGCCGGTCAGCGAGGGGCAAGTTGTGCAGGAAGTCAACGGGGAAGCCGGCGCTACAGGTGGGCCGCCGCGAGATGAAGCCGCCGGGGACGGGGAGGAAGTTCCGGGGCGTGAGGCAGAGGCCCTGGGGGAAATGGGCGGCCGAGATAAGGGACCCGCTGCGACGCGTGCGGCTCTGGCTGGGCACCTACGACACGGCGGAGGAGGCCGCGTTGGTCTACGACCACGCCGCGATCCAGCTGCGCGGGCCCGACGCGCTCACCAACTTCGCCACCCCTCCGCCGTTGCAGTTGGCCGCGATGTCCCCCCCGACGCCGCCGGCGAAGGGCTCCGGCGAGGCCCGCTCGCCGACGTCGGTCCTCCGGTGCCTCCCCGACGACGCCGAAGACTCGCAGGGGAGCGCCGGCGACGCCGCGAAAGAGGAGGCGCGCGGCGACGAGTCGTGCGCGTCGGCGGAGAACCTGTCGGAGCACTCCACGACGAGCTTCGAGAGCTTGTTCCCGGACGATTTCTTTGACTTCCGGAGCTCGGCCCCGAGTCTGTTCGACGAGTACGCGAGCTTCGGCGACAGCATGTTCAAGGACGAAGCGGGCGACTTCAGCAGCAACCCCTTCATGAACCCGGGCGACGACTTCGGGTTCGGATTCTGGCCCGGGTTCGGGTCCTCCCGCTGGAGCGCCGACGACGATCACTTCCAAGACATCGGGGACCTGTTCGGCTCCGACCCTCAGTTAGCAATGTGAATTTTCCCCTTTTTCCCCCTTGTGCTTTCTAGATCGAGTTCCGTGGTGTAGTCTAGGTCGTGCCGGTCACCGGCCGGCGACAGTTTTGTACCGGCGACGTTCCCGTTTTGCTCTTTGTTTCTTCTCGCGTCCAGTTGTAATCTCCAGTCCGTGTCAATAAGTCATTAGCGACGACGAAATCTCCGCCGCCGTCAAGGTAACGGTGGGTGACGGACGAGTTTTTGCTACGTGTAGTGTTCGCCCCTCTCTCTCTCTCTCTCTCTCTCTCTTTTCAGATTTTGTTCGTGTTGGGAACGTGCCGCGCACGTGACGGAAGCACGCATGAAAAATTAAGATGCTTTGTTCATTTTATTTTCGCGGACATTAAAACGAGGTCGTACGTGGGTGCATTTTTCTCGCGGTCAGATGGATTTTCGCACGTATGTGTGGTGGCTCGTCCGTTCGAATTTTTGTCCGGCACCGGGGAGATTCTTGTTGACATTCGAGAAATGGTAAAATGGCCAATTAGATAGTTTCAATTTGCTTATGAATTGATCGTCTCGAAACGCACAAAACGACCACGTGTAATAGCTAAATGCTCGCAACGTCGCTTTCGTTCCTTTAAAAAATATCGTCCTTAAGTTCAGGTGCGCGGTATACGTGGGCACTCCGGTGCATTTCTCCCTCTGATTCAGAATGAATGCTTTTTCGAGCCCTCCCTTTCAAATTGAAAGTGTATGTGACCGCACGAATTTAAGCAATCACTTGTTTAGATTCTACGTATTGATTATTTTGAATCAAAAGAAAACTTTTTGGCAGAATGGTCACGTTATGTAGAATATATTCACTTTCGATAGTCACGTGCAAGTCTATAGAACATAGAAAGACAGGATTTCCATGATGCGTATGTGTGAGATGAACCAAATCCTCACTGAATTTGATTTTTCCATTAGAGGGCGATGTTCGGTAGTGCCACCAGTGAATATCCGCTGGCATTACAACAAGAGCGAGAAAATGCGGAAATCATGTTGATATTGGTCTACAAGATTGACGTATAATGACGAGTGATGACTTGACATTTCAATAAACGTACTGAATTTATATATTCGATGTGAGGCTGTCATATTCTCGTAAGTTATCATTACAAATAAATTCTGATATATCATATGTTTTGCTTCTCCATCTTGAGGCAATAGGAGGAAAATGTTTATAATTTGTCTGGCAAAAGAAAACCTTATCGAAAATTGGAGAATTTTTGACAAAAAAAAAAACCCATCTCAAATGTTTTTTTGGGGGGTCTGAAAACCAATCTCAAATTGATAAGATGTGTTAAGATAATCATTATCCGAGTTTTTGGTCTCCACGTTTCAACTTCCCATTGGCCGAACCAACGTGTTCGAAACAAACGCTGAAAAACAAATACCGAACACAAGGATTTACGTGGTTCGATCACAAGGTGATCTACGTCCACAGGCGAGGCAAAACAAGATTCCACTATAATAAAAAAGATTACAGTTTTCAGAAGTCGAAAAAACGACTTAACAAAACCTCACGGCTCACAAATCTCTCCCAAAACAAAAATCTCTCTTAATCAATGAAAAAACCTAACCGCAGTATAAATAGGGCTCCCCAAAAAATTTCCTTGGGGGAGTAGCCCCCGAACCCACCGAGACATTTGTTCGTTTGCTCCAGATTGGGCCTATCGGCCCAATCCTCCCCATCACGAACTAAATCTCAATTTTTTTCTCCACTTTTGGGTCACACAAAAAATATGTCGGGTCGGGTGATGAACCGGACCAAGTAAATAAAATTCAAGACATATTTAACACAACGCGTGACTGGAAAACTCGAGTGGGACCCGTAGTGCACTTTTTTCCAGCTGGACTTTGTGACTCGGTCGTACAGGTGGCGCATCGGGATATTCTAGTCCCACTTTCGATCCCAAGGAAAAAAAATGACAATAACGTAAGCAAGAAGAGGAAAAAAAAAACACGAAAAAATAAGGAATTTCATTTCTCCACATGAAAAGGCGAAGTAGAAGAAAAAGGAGATTATCCTCCAAAAATGCCTAAATAAGGTTACACTCTTTGCTCCCTATCGGGTATGGCGTTGTTGGGGTGTGGTTCATGCTCCCTAACGACATGACAGTACGAGTGCGAGATGCTAATTATATTCTTGTAATTAAGGGATGTAGCAGAGAGGTTCGGAGTGCTAATTATAGTGGAATCCTCAACTGAACGTAGCCTTAGTTTAAAGATAAATTAGGACAAAATCTTGCGTCTCAAATTCTTTTTCTCGATTTTACTCTCTATTTTCTTTGTGATTGTGCGACCGATCCTAACAGGCGTTACTCGATCTTACAATAAGCTCCACATTCTTGGCAATTATATTAACAGTCTCCTTGACATCATAAGTGGGGCACGGAGCACACAAACTCGTGCCCTAAAATAGTACTCCTCCATCTAATCCGTAACTGGTGGGGGGCATTACGAAATGCAATTGGGTTGGCGCATCGTTTTGCGCACGAGAAGAGACAAGAGAAGAATATGTGATGGGGTTCTTGCGGCGTTAGGGGACAAGCCACTTCTTCTCGGTTAGATCACGCCCACCAAAGGGGTCCTCAAATGTTATTATCTGCGAGTAACCAGAAGCAGCCAGATTTCGGCAAATGTAATTTGCCCTGACCTCTTGCTCTCGCTCCTGCGACACCATTTAAAAGCCTCTGGTACCTCATGCCAAAGCAAAATATTATAATTATAATTACCTCGCACCTCATGCATGCACATAGTCTAATCCCTAAATTATATGAAAATATCCGATATTATCATTCCATTATTTCAAGTTCGGGGACTAAATTGAACATGCGCAAAAAATTTAGAACCACGTTGAACAAATTAAAAGTTAAGGGAATATATTGCATATTGGACTAAAGTTCATGGACCAAACTGGACAAATTAAAAGTTCAGAAATGACATTGCATCTTGGGCTGAAATTCAAGAATCACTTGTGTTATTTCCCATTTTTATATGTATGTATTATTAGGAGGTATTTTATACGTGGGTTAAAAATAACAGAAGAAATCAAAGGTTTATAATTGAAAATATCCAATATTATCCTTCCATTAGTTTAAGTTCAATGACTAAACCGAACATGTACCAAAAGCTATTGGACTATACTACACAAATTAAAAGTTCAAATACGATATTGTAAATTGGGCCAAAATTCATGAACCATTTATGTCATTTTTCCATAATATATATTATTGGAAGGTATTTCATATGTGCTCTCCTATATTGGACAATAAAGGGTTGAAATTAACAAGAGCAATCAATTCAATAATTCAATGAAACTAGAGTTTCAAAATTTACATGCAAAATATTGGTGAGATGTATATCATGCCTTATCCGGGTATACTGTGACACGTTTGTAATCGATATTAAATGCTCGAAGTATTTCGGGGTGTATTACCATATTCCTAAAATCCTCGCGCTTCTTCATATTTTAATAACACCCCCGCGTGATATAAATTTATTTCCGTGCGACATGGTTCTGTCCCGTGTACTATCCTACCGCAAAGGGACAACGCATTCGAAACGCCACCTATAAGCTAACCCGAGCGAATATCTGTTTCGAACATTCACGGACCGTTCATGCTACGCGAAAATCCTAACACGATAGCATGTTAAGTACGAGTAATAGAAACAAACATTTGGGAGATGTTCAAATTTCTTTTTCAGGCGAGAAGGAATGAATGTCGACTGAAATCCCAAGCTAACCCCACCAACTTGATTGGGGGTCGCAAACAAAATCGCCGCGGAGATAGCATCCCAAGCGGAAATACGAGACGTCGCTCTCGAGCGGATCTTGCCTGTGCGTTGGCAGCGGGGAAGGACGACTTTATATTTAACCAGAAGTGGGCCCCCGAACCTTTTAGTGGGGCCCACCCACTGGCGGCCTGCTGAACCTGGATCTCCACCGATCAGACGGCGGTCGATCACTTTTCCTACTCGGGGGAAGCTCAGCAGGCTGTGGGCCCCCATTCCGGTCCACCCGTCTCGTTAAGGGTGAGCGGTTCCAGGTTTCGTACGGTTCCAGATTTCGTATAGGTTCCACCTGAAACCTAGAACCTATCCACGGGAATAAGTTCCTCAGTTTGTTTGGAACCTGAAATCTACCCCCTAAACCTATTTCAAAGTAGGTTCCAGGGTCTATCTACGTTCCATCCGTATTATTAATTGAACAATTGCAGTGAATCATCATATTTAATTACCACCACTTGTTGTTATGATCCATTGACCACAACTTGTATTTAAAGACACGAATATGAAACATTAACAAGTCATAAAATGAAATATCAAATTAGTAATTCCAGATTATACACTCATCATTTAACGCTACAGAACATCGTAGGATTACATGAAAACATAAACTAAGAAAAAATACAAAAAAAAACTTGTTTCAAGTTCCAAGTTACAGGCCTAGAACTTGAAACCAAAATCCGTTGATGCAGATTCCTCAATTTTTGGAATTTGGGACATACCCTGCATATCTTGGAACCTGGAACCGATAATTTTTCACTGGTCAGGTTCTCAGGTTTCATACTCTACCTTAGAACCATGCTCGCCCCTATCTCCCATGGCTTGAAATAGCCTGTTCGACCCAAGTTGTATAATTATACGGTTTAGTTCAGGTGGTCTAGGTGAGCAAATTCATATATGGAATTGGGAATTAGACTGAAAATCACTTGGAATTGGGAAACGCACTGGTACTCTTGAAAACTGCCCAAAATCGATTTGTTTGGGCAGTTCCTTTTGCTCACTTATACTATCCAACCCACTAGACCCCCAAACCCCCCTGGCTCCCTCCCAACTCTACTTTTCCTAGTTCCCACTCGACCACGAGAGATTATCCTTCTTTACTGTGTGTGAGGCCAAGCTTCGAGCTCGAGCAACTAGGGTGGCCGCGAGCTTCAACTTTGAAGCTCATAGTCACCATAGATGTTAAATATGTCTTGAATTTTATGTTCTCAGTCCGGTTCAACACCCGACCCGATATATTTTTGTGCGACCCGAAAATTGAGATTTAGTTCGTGACGCGGAGAGTTGGGCCGATAGGCCCAACTCGTAGCAATCTCTATGGCGGTCCGCCCGAGCTGGAGCAAGCGAACCAATGTTTCGGGGGGTTTGGGGGCGTAGCCTCCGAGGAAAAATTTCGAGAGCACTATTTATACTGCGGCTAGGTTTTCTCATTGATGTAAAGAGAGAGAATTTTATTTTTAGAGAGTTTTGTGAGCCGTGAGTTTTTGTCGTTGTTTCGACTTCTGAAAACTGTACTCTCTTTTATTATAGTGGAATCTTGTCTTGCCTCGCCCGTGGACGTAGATCACGTTGTGATCGAACCACGTAAATCCTCGTGTTCTGTGTTCGCCGGTTGGCGAAAATGTGACAGGTCGGCGAGTCAGATCCTTATTTGAGACCGAATTGATCAATTCAGGCCTTTATTAGAAACAAAAATCACTTTGGATTTTTTTTTGACAAAACAATCTCATTTCCTTCTCTTATTTGGAACTTCGAGAGCAAAATGTTTGTCCTTGTAATTTCTCGTTTGCAGACTTTAACAGGCTAGGGCAGCGCCACGTCAACCACTGCAACTTCTGCCGGACTGGAGGCGATGCGCGGCCTACGTACGCACGCATTATGCGATTGCTTTTTCGCTTAGAGTTTGCTTGCTGCTGCTGTTCTGCGATGCTGCTGCTGCTGCTGCTGCTGCTCTCAAGGTGTAAAAAACACATTAATTGCGCGCCGTTGAAAACGAATTCGATCCTGCGTCCCTTTTGTAATTCGAAAAGCTGTCGGGCCCATCTAGACAAGAGGACGGACGCAGAAGATCTTCTTCGTTATTCTTTCGGGGGCCTGCCGACCGGATCCTGGCCGTACACGTAATGTCAGTCACCTCTCTTTCAGAAACCAACTGGCGGGGTGGTGGTGGTGGTCCCCGTGGTCCCCGCTGTCCCGCCAGCTCAGCCGGTCAGTGTTGCTGAGGTACGGTCGTGATTTGTGGTCCACCCCCACCCGCTTCGTATGGACCCTCCGTTGTGGATCGATTGGGAGCTGTGATTCTTTCATTTCGCAGGGGTGGCAAAACAAGAACAAGAGAAAATTTACTGGAGAGTGTCGAGATGTTGTTTTAGGCCCACTTCTTGGTGGGCTATCATGTCGCGTGGCCCGGGTAGGATCTTGAAGCTTCCGATTGTCCGTTCGTATCGGTGGCGGGAGCCTCATTAGGAAAAAAATATTTCATGCGATGGATATATCATGTCACGTGATAGTGATAATGTGGAGCAACCGATTAGTTATCGCTGCTCGCATGCTATAAATCTCATCTCGATCTGGTGTCGTATGCATATTCATATTACTTTTTGATTGGTTGATTACACCAAAGTGCACGTGTTACTGTCACGTGATGTATCTGTCAGACAAAATACCTTCTTCCCAATCGGGGCTGTACATAATGTGACGAGAATTCTAGCTCCTTGTCGAACAAGAGGGAGATCACAGAAGGGGCGCGTGAGTAGAGAGATTCGCTCCGCAAGCAAGCCGTACATGAACTTAATGCATGTTTTAAATTGAATTACAGATCATCAGCAAGGCTTACAAGGGACTCATGGGGACCAAGGTCAGAGGTATCGCGGATTGATTTATAGATCCCACACCTAAGTACTAGATAGCTCGCACCAGTACAATTTAACAGATGAAACACATGTACAAATACAAGTCGATCACCTAATCTGATGTTGCATGCAATTGTCATCTGCTAATGCTCGTTTACTGTTTTCTTTTCACTTGTAGACCCAGAGGCACATAAATGCTGGTGGATACGAATCAGGGCGAGAGAAAGTGACGAGCCAGGGGGTTCCCAAATTGCAATTTGCGCGAGCAAAATCTTTGACCCGATCTTCTGCCTCTTCGCTTAGCGAATCGCCATGCAACGTGATATTTCACATGCACGGGATGTCTGGTCTGGACAAACAAGATCTTTTCTTTTGTATGCGACTAATCTCATCTTTCGTTCCTGCTCCGAAACTGAACCTACGTGGCGAGCGGCGCATCAGGCGTTATTACGCTGACGTGGCTAATGATAACTGTAAATAACGACCCCCATGCAAACGCGGATCGCTCATCGCTCTGTGAGTGGGAAAGAATCGAATGATATTTCAAATGCCGGGTTTTGTTTGGACCAAGAAAATAGCATTTTTTTCTTTGGACCGAGATGCAAGATGAGAGTTGATCCAAGGGGGGAAACGTGAACATTAAATGCCAGGTTTTGTGAACTTTGTCGTAGCGTTTGTCGGAACAAGTACGTATGGATTAATTTCTTCCTGACCAGGAAGAAAGCTACAAGCATCTTATTAGACCCACAAGCTTTATTATTTGTGCCAATATTAGCAATGGCAAATATTAATAGGATCTCTCTACCATCAAAGGCCAGATGGTCGACAAAATGCCGGGAACCGCCCTTAACCTTCTCGGCGGTGCCGGCGGACGAGCACGGGAGCAGGAGCAGGGGCTGCTCAGTTGAGCTTGATGGGGAATTTGACCCCGGATGAGCCCGGGGCGTTCCCGACGGTGACGTGGAGCCTCTGGCCGTGCTCGCAGTGCCTGCCGGAGGAGGAGACGTAGTAGTAGTCGCCGACGGCAGCGAGGTTGAGGATGGTGGGGCCCATGTAGTACATCTTGATGGGGTCGCTCATGTCGCATGTCTCGTAGGCCTTCTTCTTGACTACCAGCAAGTTGTTGGAGCCTGGCCTGTATGGGAAAACTGCCATGCATATACGCATGTTCGTGACGATTTAGAGTTTGATACTGTCATTTTTGCGCTTATGGATGCTAGAACACGCACGCACAACATGTTACGTTTTCTTGTCAAACTTTATACCGAAAAAATGTTCGGACAAGGATTAGAATTCCGACCGAGACAACTAATATGCACATATTGATCAAGGAAACCCTAACAATCAGCATATCACAAAAAGTTTGTGGAAGTCTCCTTTCTCGGTGCCGACTGAGTAGATCTATCATCGCAAAATGGCATTATAAGAGACTTACGTTCACAAACAATGTGATCAAATGACGCCTACTATGGTTGATTTTGCCGAAACAAAACAAAATATCAGAATTAGATCGAAGTAGAAACTCACTGAGTTGGTCGCCGACGCCGAAGGTCCTAGGTCTGGCCCAATCTTGGTAGAAGGTGACATTATCGGGCACGTCCCATCCTTGACGACCCCCGACGACGTGAAGCACTGCGCTCGTCGATCCCATCAACATCGTCGCCATCACCGAGCAGCCTAACAAGACCAAACCAAGACTCATTGATGATGATCTCTCCATGGTTTTGACTTCCTCGCCCTTTCGCTGCCCTTCTGGGAATTTGTTCTTCTGGGGTTGATGCCTCTGCGTTCGAAAGGAGAGGCGACGATAATAATGAGTTAATTAGCTAATTTTCGGCGAAAAAAAATTACCTAATCAAAAATTAATCTCCCCCTTCAAATACAAAGAGGGATCGAGAGGCCCAAAATCATGATTTGGAGAGGTCGTTAATTTGATTTGTTTTGATTGATTGATCGAAGTGGTATTGAGGGGGTTTTGACCGGGTCAACCGAAACAAACTCCAATTTATGGAAGGATATGGTTGGGATTTCAGAGATCGCGGCCTTTTCTCTCCCTACCTTATCATCTCTCTTCCTTATCGATTATGCATCAACAGAAACTAAACAAGTGTATGCAGATTGGTTGGGAACATTGAATTAATGGATGTATTAAGAATAGCTAGGCAACACAAGATGAACAAGGTTAAAATCCTAAATGCATAACTGAATTGATCGTTTCCTAGTTAATTAGGGATGCTGGGTTAGACATTGTATTGATAAAGATGTTACAATCAACTATTATAGGGAGGATTACCAAAAAAGGCCTAAATCTAATGCAATTGCGCCAATTCAGTTCTAAACCCCCTTTTTTTTACCAATTGAGTTAGAAGACTTTTGCATTTGTACCAATTTAATTTATCTGTTCGGAATTCGCTAACATGAACGCTAGTGTGTCTTACATGGTTGGCTGTTGTGAGGGCAGCGAGCCCTCGCTAGGGCTCACGGCCATCGTGCAGCTCTGAGGGAGGGCCATGAGCCCTAGCCTGCGACCAGCGACGGCTCCTAGTGGTCGGCGGCCCCCTGTCGGACTTAACAATAAAAAAAAAAGAAAAAAAAGTAAAGAAGGAAAAAGAAAAAGAAAGAAAAGAAATTATAAAAAACCAAAGTATCTAAAAAATAATAAAATATTATTAAAATTGTCTATGTTAGTGCCAGCAGTGCCACGTAGAAAAGCCAGCATCCATATCAACAATTTCCAGTTATGATTAGCCGGATGGACTCAATTGATAAAACGTGAAAAATTTTATGACTCAATTGTCACAATTAAAATGTTTAAGACGAAATTGGCAAAAATGCAATGTTCAAGACTTTTTGGACAGTTTTCTTGATTTATTTGGTATAGCTTTGGCCGGGTTTTAACTATGACGTGATGTGATTATGCTTTGAAGTGTCGTGACTTGTGATATGATAATATATGCATCAAAACTACAATGCATTAAAACTAGGTGAGCAACTTTTTAAAAAACTGTTGTCAGGTGTCGTAATTGTGGAGATGCTACAACCATCAGGTACTTGTCAAATACCATATGAGAGCTTTAACACTTCTTTATACAGTTGAATTGTACAAACCAATCTTCTATAATTAGAGGTAGTGAATTTTGTCCGCTTGAAAGATGATTGCAAGGATAGCATATATTTTCGTACGTAGAGGGGATTGCACAAAATCAACCTCAAACGTGAACTTTAGCTAGGCTGATGCTGGCTATGTATGATTGAAATAACATGATTAAACAGTATATTTTTCCAATAATGCCACAAAGCATGTTCCTATACTTGGCCATAACCAACATGCTCTAGCTGCAATATCGTTTCCTTAATTAATCACTATCACATGGCCAAAGGAAAGCTCCCACGGCTTGATCGACGTCTCCATGCACAGGCAACCCGTACTCGTGCAGTAGCAGCAGGGTCAAGCTTCCACTCGGGCATGCATGGCCGTGTAGTTTTGTACCGAGGGTAGTGCAGCGGCATCTTGAATGAACAACCTCTCGAGATCGGTCTTACCGGCCGTTTCGTGCCCACTTGGCCTCAACCCGACAGTAAAGGAAAAAATGCCGTTTCGCTAGCTATGTTTTCTGTTCTTTCGAAAAACAATTATTGTTTCACATGCCAGGCTACCATTCTGTAGACATCTCAGATTAATCTAGAAAGCAATTGTGAGGTACAAACGGAGCCTAAAGAAAGCAAAAAATGGTGAATGCACATGCACTAATCTCCTGAGACCCAAAGTTCTGGAAGATACATGTTGTGGATAACTTACAACTTTCACTAAGATCATGGCACGCTCACAAAGAAAGTTAAACATTGCTCGATCAAGTTTCTGGTGATTAGTGGGAATAAAACTGGTTATATCCTGTCTTTGCTCTTTTCTTACAGCTAATTGATGCACATAAAATCTCCCCGAGGCTATAGTGGCATGTTGGATCGGCTTGTAATTTGTAGTGGGCAGATGTTTGGAACCTGTCTGACCTGACTAGTGGATCTCAACTCAAAGGAAGATTTCTCTTATCAGCAATGCAGCGATTCATATAAGATACAGAACAGTACTGGATTATTCTTCTTGGATCGATTATTGATGTAATCGAGTCAATTCCTTTCTGGGTTTTGTTGATCCAGATTCATGTAATACAGAAGTCAACCACAACTCAAGAAAAGATATATAATGGGTAGTTTATATAGCTAAATTGATTAAGGATACGCAACGATATGCTGAATGCATGACGGCCATTTTTAGGGTCAATGTTGCTCTTAGTTATTAAAATTGGATAGGGAATATGTTGCTCTTGGAAGGTCTTCACTTCCATATGCAAGCCTAATAGCATAAAAATTATTTCAACTTAATGTCTGTTACGTGCAATTTTTGTCCAGTCGTGGTCGCTAGAAACTAAATAGCTTAAATGATTAAAGTCCAATGGAAAATAATCCATGGCCGATCAAAGTTTCAAATTTGACTTCAAGTCGAAATTAAATGGATTTTAATATGCCTTAAAGTCTCGAGGACTTTATAATATTCGAACTACTAATACAAAATGCAAATAATATATAAAAGTAAATAAGGAAATCGCATGAAACTTTCACTGAGTTAGAATAGATGGTTTACATTTTAGGATATCATGACTGCTCAATGATTGAAATTGATATAAGAATTCTGATGGAGATGACTATAATGGACGGAAAGGGTAAAAAGCACACAAAGTATGACTAGAAAACTTCAATAAACAAAAGCGAGTGGTAGAATTAGGAAATCTAATCGGACCGTATTGAATGATCTTCCCTATCTTTAGAATCCGATGTCTTGTGTTTGTTTATGAATGCCTTGATTGATGCTATGTGGATTGATCGTATTGTGTGATCCCTTACTTTGATTACTCCTGCATCTTTCATGAGCCATTCCATCATGCGTCAATGTCGTCCTCGCTGGAATCTCTTATTGCCTTGACTTAAGCGCTACTTTCTTAGCTATAGATTTCACCTCGATTGATAGACACTCCTTAACTCAATTTTGAATACACGTTTCAAGTCGATTGGTTGTTTGCCATGTATCATGTACCTTCACCATAACACTGCCCATTGGAAACTCATGATCGACAAAGTCGAGACATTCTATCGATGGGCCTTGTGGATCAGTTGTGCTGTTGTGACATTCATGATCAACGAGCTTATAAGACATTTCATCCATTGGGCCGTGTGCATTTCATCCATCGTGCTGTATGTATCATGTGCAGATCTGGACCATTAACTTCTTTATATTTGGACCCACATTTTAGACTTAAAAGTGAATAGACTCGATCATCGATTCTCTATGCAAGTTGTTTTGTATCGATAAGTACCATGAAACAAATGAATGGTTGATTGGAATGGAAAATGAGCAAGTGCGACCCGTTTTGAATTTGTGGAAGTTCTAGAAATAAATTAGTCGATCTTTCGTTAGGTTAGTGAAACCAATCATCCAGGGGGTTGGCACGTTGCTGTCTATGGTTGGTCAAGGTGTAGTGCGTGGACGACGGACCATCCCATCCATTGACTTTGTTTTTAACTTTAAAAGGTCGTGGCCGTCCCGCCAACCGCTCAAGACGTGCACTCCCCTCAAATTAGATTGATCTATGAGCCATGTACTTCCAAATGTTGGAATGTGACACATTCTAGACTCTGCCCTTAGTTATTTGTTTTTTTTTTTGGTAAGGAACCCTTAGTTATTTGTTTCATATATATATAAATGAATAATGACACAAATGATCACTGATCTTAATATATAATATGGTTCTTGAATTTTTAATTTGTTCAATGTGATCCCTGAACTTTTTCGTACATGTTCAACTTAGTTCCTGAACTATAGATCAAATCATTGCGCAATAAATCCATCATTGCAAAAGTTTAAATCGAGAGTTAAATAAATATTGGAAGCCATACTTGCGTAGGTGGGTCCCACATAAATGTCAATTGCTTATCCTTCACCAACTTCATGGCAAGGGAGAGCACTCATGAGAGGACAATCTCATTTCTACCCTCCCTCTCTTTGGGTGAATGAGTTCATCAACCAACCATCTTTCAAGCATTCTGATGTTTTTTAGGTGGACGCCATATCCAAGTTCCATTTGTAGGGTAATGTCAATTTTATAGATAGATATACATGAAACAAAAACATATAGATGGTATAGAATTTTCAGATAAGATCAAAGTCATCCGATTTCCCAATATGCTAAGACAATATTTAAGAATATAATGGTGACTTCATACGAGAAACTCTTGTTCAATATATCTTGTCCAATGTTGCAATACGGCAAAATTTGGATAGGCCCAACCTGGGATCTAGAGGGCTACACCCAGGAGGCTCGAACTTAGGAACCAGACACCAAAACCCGAGACCCTGCCCTCTAGAGCGGGGATCCTTGTCCCTCAACCCATTACCCTAGCACCTATTTCGGGAGACCCTGGCCCTCTCCGTGCTTGGTTCGAGCACGGGACTTTCATGTCCAACTTTTGGGATATCAAGTTAGGGGCGTCAGGGTCCTAAGTCAGATCCTTGAGGTTCGAGTCTTAGGCCCTAAAGTCAAGGGTCCGAGGGCTGACGCCAAAGGTTCGGGCATTAGGATCCCTGGTATGGATTGGAATTCCTCCCATAAGATCTCATGTATGGGCCCTCATATCCAAGCCTCGACCTCAGGATCTCGAAATCAGAACGGACTCGAATAGCGGGATCGCGGGTCGGATTCGAGCACTCTTCTCAGAGAAGTCTCTTCACGTTGTTCGGTAACAGATTCACAATTATCGAAAACGGTCCAAACGCATGAAGTGTGTATACTAAACTGGCCGGCATTTCATATGAGGTTAACAGAAAAAGGGTAAAATAAGCAAATAAAAACTAGGGAAAGCCACCCCCACTTTGCTCTAGTGGCACCGCCTGTAACATCGGGGAAGCGTCAGATTCGGGGAGGACTCCGAATCAGTCAAAACGCGGCACCGTTTTGACCCCCCCCCCCCCAACTTTCCACTGCCAAGTCCCACACTACTCGCGAACGTCGTTTCACGTTCAAGCTGCCCCCCAAAACGACCTCCAACTCCTCGCCCCTCGAAAGCAACGGTCTCTCGAAAAGCAGTCAAAGAGTCGAAACTCGCGGGAACACAACGTATAAAGCAGTACGACGTGGTGACTCCAAAGAAACCGGACATCTTCAACGGCCACGCCCTCCCTCTCTCTCTCTCTCTCTCTCTCTCTCTCTCTCTCTCTCTCTCTCTCTCTCATTCATTTCCATTGTCGAAGCTCGAACAACGAACCAAAAACCTGAAACACCAGCTTCTCTTTGAGCTCGAGTCATTACGGACAAAAGAAAAGTCGGTTTTTTTTTTGCTCGGAGATCATCGTTGGTTTTGTGGGTCCTTTCTTGCGGGGACGTTTCATCAGATACATCGCCTGCTTTTTTTGTTGGGTGCTTTTTGTTTCTTCAGGTGAGTTTGATTCTTTCTTCTTCTTCTTTTTTCTTTTCTTTTCTGGGTCCCGCGATCCTCTGCTTTGTCGAATTTACTGTTGAATGAGTCGGATTTTTTTTTTTTTTTTTGAGATTCTGCCTTGGATTGGATGATTGTGAATTGGGTTCTGAACAACTTGAGAAATCTTTGCTGCTCTGTTTCGATTACCTGGACCTAAATTGTGGTGAACTCCCTTTGTTTTTCTTGCAAAGGACAGATTTTTTTTGGGTTGATTTTTTCTTGTTGACTCATGTACGTTCCTTAAATTCCCCTTTTAGTGTTTGTTCACGGCCAATCTCAATTAATTGTGAATTCCATGGGAAACGTACGCATAAGATGCTGAGTTTGTGTTGGTATGTGTATGTGATGCTTCTAGTTTCCAGGAACAACTTGCTTGAATCTGTAAACTTTCGGAGATTTCGGATCAAATTGAGCCGAGTCTTGTGGCGTGCCCAGCTTGGAGATTTGACTCTTCGAAGCCGGAATGGAACAATTTCGGCATGTCGGAGAGGTACTAGGGAGTATGAAGGTTCTCATGGTGTTGCAAGAGGATATCCAAATCAATAGGAGACAGTGTTGCTTACTCCTAGATATTTTCACTATGGCTTTTGAAGAGATCGCGTCGGAGATTAAGCAGAACCTCAAGCTCGAAGAGAAAAACACCAAGTGGAAGGCTCTCGAGCAGCCTCTGAGAGAGCTCCACCGGGTTTTTAAAGAAGGCGAGCTTTACATCAAGCACTGTTTGGATGTCAAAGACTTTTGGGGCAAAGCAATCACCCTTCACAACAGCAAGGATTGTGTCGAATTCCACATCCACAACTTGCTGTGTAGTTTCCCAGCAGTCATCGAGGCAATCGAGAATGCTGGCGAGATTTCGGGGCTTGACCCTGATGAGATGCAAAAGAAAGGAATTTTGCTGAGGAGGAAGTATGATAAGGAATGGAATGACCCGAAACTCTTCCAACTGAGATACGGTAAGCAGTATCTGGTCCCTAAAGAGCTGTGCAAGAGATTGGACATGGTTTGGAGAGAGGACAGATGGCTTCTCTGTGAGCTTCTGAAGGAGAAAAAGAGCCTGGAAGAATCTGCTGTTCTGACAAAGAACGAGCAGCGGCTTGCCGATCTTTTGCTCAAGAAAATAAGTGCCTCAGAGACGTACAATTGGACGCTCTTTCCTAGTTCGATCCTTACTGGGGCAAAGGACTATGCTGTGAGGCGGAGATTGGGATGCGGGAAAGAGCTCAAGGAGATTCAGTGGTTAGGGGAGAGCTTTGTTCTGCACCACCTTTTCGGAGAGGACGGGTCATCGAAAGGCGAGATCTCTACTCTTCTTTCGCTTTCCCACCCTAACGTGCTTCAGTACTTATGCGCCTTTTGTGATGAGGAAAAGAAAGAATGCTTTCTAGTTGCAGAGTTAATGAACAAGACTCTCGCTTGTCACGTGAAAGAAAATTCAAGTCTGAGGCGACGGATATTGTTCTCTCTTCCGGTTGTAGTCGACATTATGATTCAGATTGCAAGAGGGATGGAGTATCTCCACTCTCAGAAGATTTATCACGGTGATCTGAACCCAACAAACGTCCTGCTCAAATCGAGGACTCCATCGGAAGGTTATTTTCATGTTAAAGTGGCAGGGTATAGTTCATTGTGTGCGCTCAACCATAATTCCCACCATTTGCCAAACCAGGACTCAACCAACCCTTTCATTTGGTATGCCCCAGAAGTCCTTGCCGAGCAGGAAAAGTCAGAGAGTAATTCTAATTCGAAGTACTCAGAGAAATCAGATGTGTACAGCTTCGGGATGATTTGCTTTCAGCTTTTGACCGGGAAAATACCCTTCGAGGAAGGCCATCTTCAAGGAGATAAGATGAGTCGAAACATAAGAGCTGGCGAGAGGCCTCTGTTCTCATTACCTTCACCGAAGTACTTGGTGAATCTAACAAGAAGATGCTGGCAAACAGAGCCTTTGCTGCGTCCAAGCTTTTCATCGATATGTAGAATTCTGCGTTACATCAAGAAGTTCTTGGTGATGAACCCAGATAATGGTCACCCTGATCTGCAATCTCCTCCTGTAGACTGCTGTGACGTAGAGGCTGGATTTCAAAAGAAGTTATCCGCGTATGTCAATTCAATGGCAGTAACACAGATTCCATTTCACATGTTTGCTTATAAACTTGCCGAACTAGACAAGACTCGCCTGAGTACTAAGATCAGGATCTGTGAGACAGCGAGCGAAGCAGAAACAACCAGCAAGGACGAGAACTTCTTCGCTGAGGATGATTCTTTTCTACTACCTGTAGGATATGCAAGATCGGTTTTTTCTGATATTCCAGACAAGAAAAATCGACTGAGTAACAAAGGCACAGCTTTGAAGGTTAGAAGAGTTCCAGGTTAGTTCACTTCCAACATTTCGTGATTGTGTCAATTCAATTGCCGGACAAGTTACTAACTTATTCAACTGAAGGACTAACCCTAACACTCAACAGTTTTTTAGGTCATTTATGGATTGGTTTCTGTGATTCTTGCAGTAGAAGATCAGATCCAGCCAAGGAGCGATGTGAGGTCTATTTGTTCGGAGATACCAGAGAAGAGAACTTTGTCATTTAAGAAATGCGCTGATATTAAGACGCGGAAAAGTTCAGGTGAATATATTTCTTTGAACTTGCTATTGTTGATCTGTTTTTTAGGTCATTTATGGATTGGTTTCTGTGATTCTTGCAGTAGAAGATCAGGTCCAGCCACGGAGCGATGTGAGGTCTATTTCTTCGGAGACACCAGAGAAGAGAACTTTGTCATTTAAGAAATGCACTGATATTAAGACACGGAAAAGTTCAGGTGAATATATTTCTTTGAACTTGCTATTGTCGATCTGTTTTTTAGGTCATTTATGGATTGGTTTCTGTGATTCTTGCAGTAGAAGATCAGGTCCAGCCAGGGAGCAATGTGAGGTCTATTTGTTCGGAGATACCAGAGAAGAGAACTTTGTCATCTGAGAAATGTGCTGATATTAAGACGCGGAAAAGTTCAGGTGAATATATTTCTTTGAACTTGCTATTGTTGATCTGTTTTTTAGGTCATTTATGGATTGGTTTCTGGGATTGTTGCATTAGAAGATCAGGTCCAGCCAGGGAACGATGTGAGGTCTATTTGTTCGGAGATACCAGAGAAGAGAACTTTGTCATTTAAGAAATGCGCTGACATTAAGACGCGGAAAAGTTCAGGTGAATATATTTCTTTGAACTTGCTATTGTCGATCTGTTTCATATTTCTGAGTAGTAGTGATTATGTCTCAAGAGAAGTAGAGAAGTATCTTCAAAAGTTGTGTTTGGAGATATGTTTGCTAAATTGCATGTGGCTTGTTCATCACAGGAACACCGAAAGCACAGGACGGGGCGTCGTTATTGAATCCCCAACGTCGTAGTGTGAAGATAAACAAAAGGAATGACTTCGTTGTACCCATAACTTCCTCTAAGATTGCGAGTCAAGGAAGAACACGCGGACACGTATCAGATTCCGAAATACAATAGCCGATGTCTCCTCCTTCACACTCCTGCACTGTATGGTCATTCTTAGAAAATTTTGGCCCGAGGAAATTTTGGTTCTAAAGCAGCTCAGTTCACATGGCAGTCTCTGGTTCTCATTGGGTCATGTCAAGCCGATTTGGTGAGGGCAGATTGAATCCAGCGTTCGATTCCACAGACCGGCTCACATTGTTTACAATCGATCTCTTTCTGTGTTTGTGAATCAGTTTTTGTTCCAAGTACCGCGACAGTCTATTTAAGAACATACTTCTTTTACATTGACAATATAGAGATTGTGTATAGATGTTTCTAAACCAGTTTTCAGTTCTGTTCCGAAGTAAACTTCGAAGGAGTGGGTCGTGGTTGGGAAATTTGTCTGCTCGGATCCGCAAACCGGTGGTTTACTGGTCTGAGATGATGCAACTGCACAATGTAAATGCCAGTTTGCTCGGCTTTAGGCTGTGATAGACTGACCAAAATTGTCTGCACAACTTCATCTATCAGTCCTTATTTTTGAGGTTTGGAAGTCTCCAAACTTTCCCAGAGCATTGTAGATTGGGCAGGGTCACCGTGTATGATTCTCGACAATAAGAAATAATTTAAACCAAATCTGTGTAACCATACGTGGGGCCGGAATTCTGTTCTAACTTTGCTGTATCATTCGGCCGATAAAAACTGATCCATCTCTTTATGAGAGAGAGAGAGCGGGAAAAAGAAGGAACGGGTCTCGTTAACCACTAATTAGTATGTGCTGAATCTCACATCAAACCAACCACAATCTTTGTTTACCTGATAATGTCTGTAATGATCTCAAAGCGACATAAAGCTCCTACTGTATATGACTTCTTAATTTTATGACGACTATCGTAATAGACCTCTGTTTCCCCACAGGTAACTTTTCCGGCTCCACCACCATTAAAGGGAAATTGAGAGAACAAAGCTACGTAATCCTCGTGCACCAGTACTCCCACAAGAAAAGGAAAATCTAAAACAAATAATTCTATAGAGCAAGCTATACGAGATTTACATCGGGTAAGGTTCATCTTTCTGACAGTAAAATTTACATACAGCTCAATGAAAAACTTTTGACACCTGTCGGACAACACTATGAATCTTCATCCTGGCAACAAATGTGCATGTCCGAAATCCTAAAATGCCTGCCATCTGAGCCAGGCATGTGATCCCCCCACAGAAGTTTTAAGCAACAGCAGCATTACTTCCATCTCGAACTTCAAGTCCACCACGTACCCACTTTTAACTATATGGCCTTTTGAGATAGCTCACCTCTTTTGGACAATTGACTCCGTAAGCTCCAATGGGAAAACCATCCCCATTGACAAATTTGTTGTGTTTTTCAGCTTACTCTGGCAATGTCCTTGTGTGTGAACTGGTCTCTGCAAACACGGTACAATTAGGAACTCATAGCTGCACGACACCGCATGCACTAGATTGTGTCCTTCAGTTCTCAGACAAGATGACCTGAGATTCTCAAGGCAGAGTACATGAAGTGCCGCCATCTTTTTCACAACTTTGGAGACTCACAAGCATAAAGCAGGTACATGAAGTGCTGCTGTCCTTTTCACAGGTCTCCCTACACCCTAAACCATCTGCAAGACTTTTATGCAGCCACTTGAATTGGCAGCTACAACCATGTCCGATTTCCCTCTCCAACAGACGCTGGAAACAAACTGCCCATTGTCATCATCAGTTTCCTTCCCAGAAATAGGATCAATTGAACCAAACTTGCAGGAAGTGATCGGCATAGGCAGAGACCTGTAATATGTGAAAACCTACCAAAAGAAAGACACAAATCACGAAAGAGCACAGTTGTTTCTAATAACTCAGGAAACTTCATTGAATAAAAGCAAGAGAAGCAAGCTACTATTTCGACAAAATAATAGAAATGGTATATGGAGATGCATACCTCATTTGTTTCGGAACCACATGTTATGTAACCATTTGCAACGGACAAACCCACGAAATTCTGGCACGTCATGAAATGAGAAGTGAACCCGATGAAAAAAAGGAAGAACATCAAGTCCTCTAAGGGAAAATGAAAATTCAGATTGAAGACCAGAGAAAGATAGTGGAATGCTATGTAGCCTTGCAATTGTACCTTCTCGTTGGTATGCCCACTAAATGTTAAGCTGCAGGCGTTATTTGACGGACCACTAGAACTGGTTTTGTTCAAATCCCAAAGCTTCAAGGTGTTGTCAGTGGATGCAGTTACAACGGTTTCAGAGTCCAAAAACTTCACATAGCTTACAGCTTTCTCATGCCCAGCCAATACACACCAGGGAGTTCTCGCATTCCGAAGATCATAACAGTAAGTTCTATAGTCAGCAGACCCAAATGCCAGCAAATGAGTGGAATGAGGAGAGAACTGAACACAGCAGACATTTGCTATGCTCCTTATTGTCCCCAAACAATTTCTCTGTTCAAAATCAAATTTATATTGCATGAGCTTGAAGGCCTTCAAAAATTATTGAAGTAATAAAGTGAAGTGTTAAGGGCAAACTATATTTAAGTATACAGCTGAATTTCGCCGATGAATTTGCTTGCTATTGAATTAAGGGTTAATACCACGAAAAACCCCAAATTGGTACATCTGTGACAATTTTACCCCAAACTAATTTTTTAACCACGAAAAACCCCAAACTAGTACATCTGTGACAAATTTACCCTAAACTAATTTTTTTACCACCAAAAATCCCAAACTGGTATATTTGTGACAAATTTACCCTCTGTTAGTTTCCATTAAATTGAATTAATACCATAAAAAATCATAAACTAGTATGCCCGTGACAAACGGAGGGTAAAACATAAAATTGGTACATCCGTCAATTGCTGCGTGTCATTTAACAAAGCAATTTGACAGTAAAATTTAACGGAAATAAAATGAGGGCAAATTTGTCACAGGTGTACCAGTTTGGGGTTTTTGGTGGTCAAAAAATTAGTTTGGGGCAAAATTGTCACAGGCGTACTAGTTTGGGGTTTTTCGCGGTATTAACCCTTGAATTAATGCATAGCAATTCCATTGTCAAAAGCCTACATGACTATCATGACTTCGTCACCCTATTTTCTAATGCAGATGAACAGGGCACATGTGATGGAATTTATACATGAGTAGTTTGCATTGTTACTTTAGTTATCTTAAGTTATAAAGTAGTGAATACCAGAACTTTGCAACCAAATAGGTTTATAAACAATCACCCGTCAGATTGTTACATATGCAAGAGGTAATTCTAATTAAGGAGGGAACATGCCTCATTGATGCTCCAAAGTTTCACTGAACAATCGTCACTTCCACTTGCTAACTTTGTAGGGTATACAGGCGAAAAGTCAACAGACCAGGCCCTCTTTTCATGCTCACTGAACTCAGAAAACCCTTGACCAGTACTTGCATCCCATAACTGGATATCATTGCAAAAAAGTCAGAATTAGAAAACGTCCTTAATACCAAAACAAACAGAGTTGATAAGAGCAAAAATAGAAAGTAAGTGGTGAACATAGCATACTTATTAATGGGTAGGGGGAAAGCCCAAACCTGTCAACCCAATAAACTAGGAAATTATCACAAAATTCAACTGGACCAGAAATGGAAAAGAACAAAGTGAGGAATAGGTATTAAATAGCTACATGTAAGAGAACATTGTCAACCATTTTTTGTTGAGTAAGACAATTGCAAATAAACCTACAGCGCGTGTATGGCTATAAATCTCTCTCTATCTCTCTCTCTCTCTCTCTCTCTCTCACACACACACACACACACACACAAGATAATTTTCTCACACTTCTCTAAACAGGTAAAAGTAAATCCAAGACCAATGAAACTAAATAACAATGAAGACTTGAATTCCCAGTAATCTTCGGTAAGGTCAAAAGTTGGCGATTCCACCAGTTGGAGGCTTTAAAATCTACTATAACATTCATTCTTGCACCATCAACAGAACTTTCCTAATTTAAATTGGATATTCACGATAGGAACTTCAAAGTCGCAAAACATGAGAGACCAATATTACAATGGACAAGAAAATGAACTATTTTACAAACAAAAAGGCAAATATGCCACAAAAAAACCACAACTTTGAATATCAGCTCTATCACAGGATATGACCTACCACCATTCAAGAATGTTGACTATAAACCATGAATCCAAAAAGAGAGATTTCAATCAATAGATGCCAAGTGCCAACCAGAAAAGGTACTGAAAAAAATATGCACCAAAATACGGACTTTAAAATGGAAATTTCACACACCTTTACTATGCCATCATAATCAGTGGATGCAAGGTAGTTACGGATATAATTATTCCAGCAAGTGCAGCTTAGCTTTGACCTATTCGACATCTCAATCACTGGATAATGGATATCGACGGAGTGATTAAAGAGCGCATCAAACTCAAATATCTTTATTTTCTTTGATATCCCAGCAGCAGCAAAGTAGTCCTCATCCCGGTCAAAACTTAGGGAGCAAATCACATTTGCTGAGGAGTTGAACTCTCCATTTCTTAGTATACCGCGTACCGCAAACTTATTATATCGAGCATACTTGGATAAGCCATCAAAGAAAGCACCCAGCCGATCAGAGCCATCCTTCTGTTCTTCATTGTTATTGGGAGGACCCCAATTCTCACGATTTTTTAACAAATCATTATCAGCACGCCTCGCAGCATCAGTCTCAGGGAGCTGCATTCTTGATTTCATGGAGAAATAAGCAGATTCAAGCTGACACACGTTCCCCATCCACCTAGACTCAACCGGATTTGTGACAGGAGAAAGATGAGGAATGACATCTGGGGTAGAAAGCTCCGTAAGATAAAGCTTATTCTCCTTTGAATCAAAGGAGTCAGCCAGGCCAATTGCATGGCGCCTTCTCCCAATCTCTTCAATATCTGCTTCCAAGCAAGTTATATTTTCTATCAACTTAGAGGCGCATTTCTGCTTATGCTCTTTTGAGGTGATCAAAAAGTGCAGAAGTAATTCTGACTCTGCATCATCTTGCTCTATAGAAGATGACAATTCTTCCGGGCAAACCTCCTTAAGCCCACTAAGTAATTCCGACTCTAGGATCTCCCTGTCAAAGACCGCAGCCATAGATGTAGCAGATCATATTTAACCATGTGCTATTATCAGGTTAATGACACAAACTTGGTGAGTTGCTATCTAATGGATGCAAAATTAATCGCCTCGAAAGATTTCAGAGAAGTCTGCAAAGTATCAGAAGATGAATGTGGTAAATCTTTGTCATTCCACAAAAGTCCACCTTGACTTTCCCTACAAATAATTAATTCTGCTAAACAAATAAACATGCACCTAGAATCAGCAGATTTTTTCAACCTTAAGAAGGTGGAAATAATTACTAAAATAAGTCTCAGGAATCCAGATAATATGCATTAGGGATTGTGGATTTGAAAAAGGATGCCCAATTCTCTCTTTTATTTTCAGCCACTATAGATGTATTTCTGCATTTAGATCACACTAATTTTTTTCAAATTGCATCTGGATTAATCAGAATTGGCCATGTGTAGTGGTCTGACTCATCTAGGCAACAAGGGGAGGAATATGTAGAATTGGCATCTAAAGATGTAAAAGTTAAACAGTAGAACACGAAAAATGTAAAATACAAGATAGACAGGAAATTTCCCTTTTAAGATGCCATATATGCGTGAATGTACATGCTGGCTAGCATATCCCAACATCACATTTCAAATATCTTAACATTTTCTCCTCAACGTTTTGTTATGATGGCTTACTTTCTATGTAATTCTGGAATAAAGAATAACGTCAAATGATCAATGTTGAGATGAAGTATGTCCCCACAAGAAACCCTCAATGTTGAGAAGAAGTATGTCCCCATAAGAAACCCACGGGCCACACGCATGTCATATTCATATAATATACATAAAGATATGTGACCTCAATTAAAAACCTGAAGTAACATAGGGTGCCATTGCTGTTTAACCAATATAATAATAGTTTTAGATTCATCAAAATTTTAATACATCTACCCGAACAAGCCAATGATGAGAGCAAATTATTTCGTTTCGGAGCCATATGTGGACCATGCCATATCACCGCAGTTTTTATTGTACAGATGGGCAGGTAGATTAACCTTACCTGCAACTTGGGCGTGAAGAAGGATCAGGATATAGTAGCAACAAGCAGAATCCAGCTTCTTTTGGATTTTCAGACAAGAAACTGGGGGGAAGAATCCTATGACAAAGATCCATCATTGCTGCATTCCGAGCCTTTCCACAGTCGAAGCGACCAAGTAACTGAAAAAAGATATTCATTGAAAATATTACAGCCAAGTACATGCCTGCTCATTTTTTCGATAATTATAAGTAGAAAGAATCAATTAACCGGTGGGGGATGTAACATAAATAATAGGTCTTACAAAGACAAGATATAAAGTTGATCAATGAAAAATGGCAGTGATTATAACCCTGAATTACATATGCTCAAGGAAAAGCTTTCGACAACAAAATAGGTCTCTACTTTTGACAATGCTGCCAACTTTTGAGGCCAAAATCAGAGACATGAGAAGAAGACAAGTGTCTTATAACTGGGATACCAAAAATATATAAAAGAATCCACCAGAGACAAAATGATGCACTAATATAGTCGAACATAATAATTAGTTCTACGAATAGCAACAGGCAACACAAGCTACACCATGAAGAGATGTATTTGATTCAATGCAAAGACATCATGCGTTGTCAAGCGAGCAAAGTGATTAACACTACAAGCTTGAGAACTAAGCAAGCAAAGCTTATATTATCTGGGAAACTCTACGCTATGCTTTACTATTGCTGCAAGGTGGTCTCACACATAAAAGAAAACTTTCATCCTTGCCCCTAAGTGAGAGAACTGGCTATGAAGATCCAGCACCGCCTCCATCAATAACAGATATGTCCAGATTCGGAGCAAAATTGCCATTCAAAATGTTTAGACAACAACATAAGAATGTAACGTCTTTGATTCACAGACAAAAGGTCACGTTTATCCTTCCGTTGCAAGAAACAACTTGACGTAGAGAATCCTTTAATCATCAAAACTAAACAGAACACTACAAAGCAATAAACAATAGAATTGTTGAATTGTTCACTGGGTGCAACTTCTGGATCAAGATTAGAAAAGACATATGAATACGCTTGTAGAAGCTTATTAAAAGTATCGATCGGCTTTCCCTCCAAATCCCACGTGCCAGAAAAGCAACACCGTCACGTGACATGCGACACGACACTACACAACACAACACGCCGACACGTCATTTATTAAAAAATAGAGAATTCCGACACGTTGGGAAACGTCGTATATTAAATGTATATTTTTTAATATACATGATAAATTATCATTTTTATGATTATTTCACAATCAAATTAATTTGATTCATATCCATAAATAAATAATTAATAAAAAAAAGAGTGTCGGACGAGTGTCGGTGTCCGACACATGTCCAACACCGACACGGAGGCCCCCGGAGAGTGTCCGTGCTTCCTAGGAAAAACTATGTCAATTATCAAAATGATCAATAAAGACATTCTATATGATTCGACAAATCAGTAAATGCAGGTTTGTAAAGTTTTATGTGTTCAATATTAAATAACAGTATTACTTCAAACTCTACAAAAGGAAATCTGCAAAATAAGCATAAAGCACAAAAAAGCAAAAATCGCCCCAGACACACTGTAATTGCTGACACAGAGCAGTTATTGAATGCACAATACAAAAAGTGGAAAAAAGCAACATCAGTGACAAGGATGATATAACTGAATATCAAGTTGGGTTTTGTTGTATGTAATTTGGAAAGTACTCCCCTTTTAAGATACATGTGCACTTGCCCAGTGAAGGCTTTGCCTCAGAATTATGACACTAACACAATATGCACGACATATGGTAAAATACCCGAAAGACATTTAGCTTAGATTTCATCATACAATGTTTACATATCCCATCTGATGCCAACATGCAATATCCCCCATGTGGAGGGAGAAGCAACATTTGCAACCAACGCCCACAAGTTCATGTAAAATTCAAAACAGAAGCAATATCCACATCAGATCGAACCTCAAAAAGGAAAACGCCCAGAGAGTATATATTTGATGCTGTATGGCTTGATCCCTCGTTGACTTCCTCAGGGCTCTTGTACCACTTCTCTTCCAGCTGGTAACTTCCAGCGGTCAATGACTCAGCAGCAGCGCTCAAAGTAGGAATGCCACCAGACTTTTGGGATCCATATTCCGTACTTGGCTTCTTTGCACCGCAAACATAGCCTGCATATTGTGGATCACCTGTACTCATCTCACTGCCGCTCACAGCCTCAGCTTTTAAACCAGGTCTTGAATGAAACTGAGGCCACTGCTGGACATAATTGATGCCCGCATTGAACTTTTGCTTCTTTGCAGCGGAGCTATAAGGTCGAACCAAACCATGCTCTAGTACCTTTTTCTCAATGATCTGGTTACTGTTGCTTGGAAAATGTTTGCCTCCAAAGGTTCCAGAAATCTCTCCCCCCAATGATGATCCTAGATACTTCACCCGATTCGATGGTAGCAATGTAAAACGAGACGGCCGTAAGTCATGCAAGGCAATCCCCTTGGAGTGAGAGTGATCCACCAAATCCACAATTTGCCTGAAAATATTTAATCTCTCCACTTTATTTACATCTCTGTGCGCACCGCTAAGCCATTCTCTCAGATTGACTCCATCAGGATCAGAACTGAAGACAATCTTGGTCCCACAGGTACTATGAGTAGAAGGCACAACACTCGAGGGATTCGAACTAAGTGATGCATCAGAAGCCATGTTGGAACCACTAGCAACATTTACATTATTCTGACTTATTGCCTCAACACGGAGATTATTGGTAGGTGGGCCTCTGAATATGATTCCCTTTCCCTTCAGAGTGTTCTTAACAAAAAACTCTGAGAATCCTGACTTCGACAGAATTTTTGTCCGAATACCTCCATGAGTTAAAACACCACCTAAAGTTTCTCTATTTTCAGAATGAGGTGGTTGCTCCATGGTTTCGTTTTTATCACCTCTTGATGCTTTTTGAGACAATAGTTCAGAAAAGGATGAGCCTCCTATGTCCTCCCAGATACTGGTACCATCCCGGTTCAAAGGATAGCCATGGGAGCTCGAATTTGCCGATCCACCTGCTGTCTGAAAGATGTGCTGCCATTGGTTCATCCTAGTTCCCATCCTACCACTACTTTTTGAGGTGCCCGATACAGCCAAATTCAAATTATTGTAGTTCCTTACTGTTAACTCCTCAACCATGCCACCGACATCATCCATTGAGTGAGAACTCACAGATGGACGATCAAGGGGGTCCAAAGAGCTTAAACTTATATTTACATTCTTACCATCTAGAATTGATGCTAACACATGAGGTGCGGTCTCATGGTACTCATCCTCCCCGGGAGTAATCATTTCCCGTGATTCCAACATACTGCCACTTTCAGTCTTGCGTGAATACTCACTTTCCTTGCTTTGGAGGTGACCACCCTCGGCCGCATCCAGTGCTGTTACTTCATCACCCACATCCTCATCCATGATGCCCAACCAGGCTTCATTCAATCAACTAATTACATTGCATTTCGACTACAATGTCCGCAAATAAAATCACACTACTCAAGCGCCACAATCTTCACCCTTCCCTGTCTCCTGCGAAACATTCGTCACGCTTCAATCTAATTCATTTAACCGCAACATTGGCACAGAGCACGAAAAGACAAGCGCCACATGCCTACAGAGCTTTAATCCGAAATTGGCAGAAGCCAAATGAGCAAATTTCACTCACTGAAATCGAATGGAAATGAAATCATTTGAAAAGAAGCCACACCCACCTACTGTTCCTACTTCAGATAACATGAGAAGAACAACATTCGTGAAAAAAAAAAGAAAGCAATTTCACCAAAATGCCAGCAGAGCCCTCGCTTCTCCGCAGAAAAACTTGCCAAAGAAAGAGGAAATTGCCACTCTAGAAGCAGAAACTAACACGCCTCCGGCAATGGGAAAAACCACCAAACGCCCCAAAATTCATTCGAAACTTCCGTTCCCTTCCCCCCCTTTCCCTCGACCGATTACACTCGAATTCAGCTCAAAAAACACCCCAGAACGAACAATCGATAGCTGGAGAGATCAGACGCACGAGGTACCAGCTCGCAAATTGCTCCCCGCGGAGGAGCACCGTCTTCAATTCCGGCGGAAACACGGCGGAGATGGAGAGGGCAAAACCATGAATTCCGGTCAAATCACGAAAACCCTAGACCTCTTGATTACGAAGAAGAAGAAGAAGAAGAAGAAGAACACGGTAAGAACGAGAGAGAGAGAGGTACGATCTTTTTGCCTGAAATGGCAAAAAAAAAAATAGAGACAGAGAAAAATAAAAATATCTTCGCCACACTCTATAACCTCTCAAATTTCCCGTGGATTCGACCAAAAAAAAAATTTCCGTTGGGAATTTCGCAATTTTTATAAATTATCCAATAATTTCTTTTCTTTATTTCCGAAATGAATATAGAGATTAGTGCAATGTTGTCGCTTTTCTTTAATCCGTTCATTTTTTTTGTGGGGTGGAAAAAGCGACAACCAGTTATCTTTTTAGAAAGATTTTATCTGGCTTTCCATTTTTTATTTTTTTTCCGAGGTGGCAAAAGACCCGAGTAAGGGGATATCTACGAAATTACCACTCGACATAATTAATGAGTTTTTTTTCATTTTTATTTATTCGTGTTCGTCGTGAAGTCATTGCATTGCATCGCATCACAGAAGATGCCAAAAGCAAAAGAGCTCGCGAGATTAAGTAATGCAATATTGATTAGATCTTAGTAATTTTGTGTCTCATTATTATAAGGGAAAATTCCAATTAAGGATCTCAAGTGGAGTCCTTTTTTTAAAAGAGGACCAAAAGTGAACATGGTATCAAATAGGGGCCCGAAGTGCTCAATTCGTCTCAGGTAAGTGCCTGGGTTCGCCGGCCGGCAAGCAAAGTACTGTTCCGGCAACCGGAACAGTACATTTCCTCTCTGTTTTTTTTTCTTCTCTTCCCTCCCCTTCGCCGGCCATAGCTGGGGCCGGCGGAGGCCGCCCTCGCCCGACGCCGGCGAGGGTCGCCTCGCCCGGCCGAGGGCCGAGGGCCGCCCGCGCGGCTAAGGCGGTCGGGCGAGGCAAGGGTTGCCCTCGCCGGATCTAGCGAGGGTCGCCCTCGCCCGCCCGATGCCGGCGTGGGCGCCTGGCCCGGGCGGGGTCGGGCGAGGTTGCCCTCGCCGGAGGGCGGCCGGCAAGGGCGACCCTCGCCGAGATCCGACGAGGGCAACCTCGCCCGACACCGGCGAGGGCGGCCCTCGACCGGGCTAGGCGGGGTTGGGCGAGGTTGCCTCGCCCGCCCGGCCCCGGCCGAGGCCGCCCTCGCCGGCCGTTGGGCGAGGGCGAGGGTTGCCTCGCCCGCCCGACGCCGGCGTGGACGGCCCTCGACTGGGCGGGCGAGGGCGGCCTCCGCCTGAGGCCGGTGACCTCCGTCGGCCCCGGCTATGGCCGGCGGAGCGAAGGGAAGAGAAGAAAAAGAAACAGAAAAAGGAAAAAAAAAACATAGAGGAAATGTACAGTTCCGATTGCCGGAACAGTACTGTGCTCGCCGGCCGGCGAGATTTGACCGGCCGACGAACCCAGGCCCTTACCTGAGACGAATTGAGCACTTTGGCCCTTATTTGACACCATGTTCACTTTGGGTCCTCTTTTGATAAAAGGACTCCACTTGGGGTCCTTAATTGGAATTTTCCTAAGATTTTATCCCAAAATCCAAAATAAAATTCTTGCCCCATCAAAAAGATAAGGGAAAATTCCAATTAAGGACCTCAAGTGGGGTCCTTTTTTTTTGAAGGACCCAAAGTGAGCATAGTGTCGAATAGGGTAAAGTGCTCAATTCGTCTCGGGTAAGAGCTGTGGTTCGCCGGTGTCAAATTTCGCCGGCCGAGCGAGCAAAATCTTGTTCAAAAATGGCAAAGCAGTACATTTCCTCTCTGTTTTTTTTTTTTCGTTTTTCCGTTTTTTTTTCTTCTCTTCCCTCCCCTCCGCCGGCCATAGCCGGGGCTGGCGGAGGTCGCCGACCTCAGGCGGAGGCCGCCCTCGCCCGACGCCACCGAGGGTCTCCCTCGCTCGCTTAGTCGAGGGCCGCCCACGCTGGCGTCTGGTGGGCGAGGGCGACCCTCGCCAGATCCAGCGAGGCCAACCATCGCCCGACGCCGGCGAGGGTCGCCCTCGCCTGCGGCCGCAGCGGTGGCGACCCTCGCCCCGAGATCCGGCGAGAGAGCAGCCCTCGCTCGACCCCGCCGGCCCGGTCCCGAGGACGCCCACGCCGGCGTCGGGCGGGCGGGCGACCCTCGCCAGATCCGGCGAGGGTCGCCCTCGCCCGCCCGATGCCGGCGCTGGGTGGCCCTCAATTGGGCCGGGCGGGGTTGCCCTCGCCCGACGCCGGCGAGGGCGACCCTCTACCGGGCCGGGCGGGCTTGGGCGAGGGTTGCCCTCGCCGGATCTCGGCGAGGGTCGGGCGAGGGTTGCCTCGCCCGATCTCGGCGAGGGCGACCTCGCTCGACCTGCCCGGCCTTGTCGATGGCCGCCCTCGCCAGGCATCGGGCGCGGCGAGGTTGCCCTCGCCGGATGCGCGAGGTCGCCTCGCCGCCGCCGGCCGGCGTGGGCGGCCCTCAACCCGGGCGGGCGAGGCGACCTCCGCTGAAGTCCGGCGACCTCCGCCGACCCCGGCTATGGCCGGCGGAGGGGAGGGAAGAGAAGAAAAAAAAACAGAAAAAGGAAAAAAAAAAATAGAGAGGAAATGTCTTTTGGCTTCGGAACAAGATCTGTGCTCGCCGGCCGGCGAGATTTGACCTGGCCGACGAACCCAGGCCCTCACCTGAGACGAATTGAGCACTTCGAGCCCATATTTGAGACTGATTGAGCACTTTAGGCCCTTATTTGACACCATGTTCACTTTGGGTCCTCTTTTGAGAAAATGACCCCACCTGGGGTCCTTAATTGGAAATTTCCCTTATTATAATAATCGTCGAGAAAATGACAAGTCACCTGGGATTTGAGGATCGTTATTTGTAACTGGCGTGTGGTAGAGAGGAAAATAAATAAATCAAAAAAGGGGGACATAAGTACTAGATTAAGAAGAGTTTAAGGAGGGTGACAAATGACATCTTAGGTTCTATGATCATGCAAAACTTTTTTCCTTTTCCGATGTCTCTATGATGGGTTCACGGGGGAAGAAAAAAAAGAGAGGAAAAGTTTACAAGTTGGGCTGTATTTTAATGAAGTAAATGTGCTTGCATTTGTACTTTTAATGAAGCAACGCATGCATAATAAATCAATCATGACGAGAAGCACACACGCATAAAGCCCGATTGTTTGGTAAGTAAGAAATTTAGCGAGATTTAATATTACTTCGACTTGTAAAAGATTAATTCAAGGTGACCATTCCCTTTTCACTAGCCAAGTTCCAATGTCACGGCCCCCTAGGACTAGTGTTCGAAACACGGCAACCGAGTTTGGGTACACGGTTGCCCCAATTTTCTATTTCGATTGAACAGAGATAGCAAAGTTCGGTAACGTGATCATGCCGTGACCATGCACCGAAAATGCTTCCAAAGCGATGAATTTGATGATCAATGCATTCGAGCGACTAATTTGTCGGCGCATTTGCCGACTGAATCCGTGTCGTGCCGTGTTCCATTTCTCCATCTTTTTCCCTTTTCTTAATTTTGTTCACGTTCTCCACCTCCGGCTAAACCGACGGTCACGTGGTCGCAGACGTCCCGCGCGAGTCCACCGTAAGGCCCTGAACCTCCATCAGCTGATCCGAGCCCCCCCGGTGACGTGGCCCTTCCTCCTTTCAGCGTTCATTCCTGTCCTTTTCTTATTCGTAGGATCACGTGCCACGTGGCCCTTCACCGTCCACTATTACTTCCACTCAAGGCAACGTCCTGTTTCCGGCGGCTGCTCTTCGTAAGAAGAGATTTTCGATGAGTCCTTTTAATTGAGCGTTCAAAGAGCATTTATTAATTATACCTAATAAAGAAATATTTTGATTCACAGTGAGTTAATCGTGCTCAGGAAGGAAAAATAATAATATTTTGAAAAATGACGAAACTTCTTTATTTGAATGTTCAACATTATGACCGACATATTGAAACTTTTGTATTAAATCAATTAATGTTGGCATTGGTGTTTGAATGAATTCACTTGCTCAAATAGCTACTCATGCATTGCCACGTCGCTTGATATCGATTTGATAGACGAGTTTTAATAACCATAACGTCGTTTGATTTTTCTTCTGTGATCGAAACCCCCACCCCACATAAGCAAATCTCGAGCGACATGCTCCATTATTGAATTAATGCATGGACGAGTGATCTAAACATTAAATTATCTACATGGAAAAATTACAGTATAAGTAACGTGCCTAATTCACACACTTATGCTCAAATGGAAGGGGTGTTTGTTACAATGGGAACGAGCTCAGGAAATAACTTTTCTTGGCCCCTAATTACATATTTTTTTGGCCCCCCAGTTACAATTGATTCAATTAGGAAAAATTATATTTGTCGTATTTTACACAAGCGCATTTTTTCTCGAATCAGGTCCCTGTACTTATAATTTATTTAATCAAGTGTCGACACTTTAATTTTCCCGACGGTTCAAGTTAGAAATTTCGAGACTCGAGATGCCCAATCACAGCGAGTCTCGTTTCTCGACAAAAAAAAAAACGAAAAAGAATTTCACTCGTTTCTAATCTTGTTTTAGACATTTGATTTAGGGAAATTGAAATTTAGAAATCTCGGATCCGATTAAAGAAATTTCAACCTCAAGAGCCGATTAACCATTTGGAGCATCATATTTGGCGCCATAGGATTTGAGATACCTGAACTCTCACCCATTAGGATCGCGTAACTTGGCACGGCTATACAAACTCCTAAAAGGAAACCCTCACCTTTGTTCGGCCTCACTTTTTTCGCCGGGCCTCCGTCGTTTCCAATAGCTGCGACCGGCGGAGGAAAGGTGGGACCTGGACAGATGCTTTCACTAAAGAGGAGGGGAATGGTGGGACCTGGACCCATTGAATAGGTCTGCCCCCATGGCGATGCGGGGGGGCCGGCCTGCACAACATTTTCTCGAAGGAGGCATGGCCTCTGCCTTTTTGGTTCGCGGAAACTCATGAACCAGTACTTCAACAATGGATGCGAGAAGCGTTGAAAGAGGAGGATGAAGGATCACTTCGGACCGGAGCAACCCGTCCTGGCGGCTGAACAAGCTTTCAGTACTGCAGAGATCAGCAAAATGACCAAATCTTATACAAAGTGCGACCAAAACATTCAATTTCTCCAGATTTATTACTAACATGAAAGGGCGACGATTTCATTTGGCACCAAATCAGCACCACTTGTCGTATTGTTATGTAAGCCATGTCACGTCATTAATTAATTTGACAGTGTAGTTAGAGTGATTGATTGAAGGATTTAACTGCGCAAACTCATAAAGTTAGAGGACTTCATGGCGCAAAATAAAACGTAGAGAGTCAAATCGCACAAGTCCAGAAAGTTGGAGGACTTGATCGAACAAATAAATTAGCTGACAAAATATCATTAAGCACAAGTACGGAGGCCCGGCCACTTGGAGACCCGTGAAAGCTCTATGAATCAGTGAAATCCCGACTTTTGACACATTCATGTCACTCTTATTCAGAACAATTTGCACGCAGCTGGTGGGATCTAAACATGCGATCTCTAACGACGAAAAGCAAACTTATTGATTAAAGATAATAGCTAGGAGTCCCATCAGGCAAATTTGTTCTGGAGTACGAAGAAGGATAAACTGAAGTTGAACATTCGATGAACTCGCCCATGAATGAGATCTTCCCTGTAAGAGGTGAGACGATCTCCATCTCCTCATAATCCTTGTGATTCTCACCCTTCCGCTTAGCTCCGAACTGTCTTTGCGGCTGCTTTCCCTGTGTGAGCAAAAATCAGCATCGCCGGCTCCAACCACTTCGCTGTTGCGCAGCTGCATTGGCACTTGCTACTGAAGGAGCTCGAGAATGGGAAAGAACGGTCGGTGTACGTCCGACAAGACGGCTGTGGGAGAGTGCATGAACCCGACATTGCCCATATTCGCACCAAACAACCTTGGAGGTGGAGGTGGAGGAAGCTTCAAGTATGTACAGGGACACATTCGGGCGACCAGGCATGGAAGGCCTGTGGCTTGCTGGGCACTTCCCCCCAATGAAACGTGACAGAGGCCCGAGCATACCATGGCGGGGATGGCGAAGTGAACAGTGAATGCCTTAGCAATTGCAACTTGCTCATCCGCGAGAGAGTAGGTAATTTCAGCAATTCGGTCGTTTCTGTTTCGAGCTCAACCCCAGCATCATCACTTTGTTCATGCCCTCTTCCCATGTTATTGCTGCTTCAGATGGCTTGGTGGATTGCTAGGCGATAATCTACCCGAAGCTACTCGGCCTATGGCCGTCATCGTGGGCTATGTATAAAGATGATTTGCTTGATTCGGGCCGAAGAATATAAGGTGATGATCGAGACAGAACTGTAGATGTGAATTTATCATCAGTTCAGTGAAGTTCTCCTAATGTGGCTTGAACCACTTCATAAAGCTTCTGGGGCCTAGAGAACAGAACTGTAAGGATTGATTGAAGATGGGGAGGGGCAGAGAACAATCCAATTTCCAGCAATGCAAAACTATTCTTACAGGCTCATTGATGCTCAAGAATATAAAGATGAAAGGGCCTTCTCAACTTCCCAAAGAACTGCTCATATGAAGCAATGAGAATCTACAAGTTTTACAATATATTGGTAATTACTATAAGCGATGTATAATCATATATATTAGTAATTATATAACCTTTTTTTATTATGGTCGGTAATTTCAATGGGGTAGGAAAACTTTCAAAGTTGGGAAAACTAAAGTTGTTAGCTAGTACATCTTTTTCCTTCATTTTGCAAGTTTCCTAATCAAAAGTTATATTGTCTTTCTTCAATAATGGTGACTTTTTCACTAGAAATTTTTGTTTCTTTTTTTTATTGTCAAAGGGTTAAAGAAGTAAGATTCTTGAAATAGATTAAGAAAGTATTAGCGTAACTAGACTTGACTCGGGATCACGTCCCAACCCGTCCAGTGATCACCTCGATTGCTCTGGATCGCAGAAGTGCAAGTGGTCTGCACCTCTAATCTAAGGTAAGGGAAAATTATCCAAAAAGTTATAAACCTATCGTACTTTGGCTAATTGAGTCCCAAACTTTTTAATTTTGCCAATTAAGTCTTAAACATTTTCACGTTTTGTCAATTGAGTCAATTCGGCCAATTTTAGCCGGAAATCGCTGATGTGGACGGCAACTGTCTTATGCGGTTTGGCTGGCACTGGGTATACAACTTTTATAATTTTTAAAATTTGTTATTATTTTTTTTTCTTTCAAGCCCGGCAAGGGTTGTCGGCCACTTGGCGAGGGTCAAAACCCTCGCCCTTGGTTGGCGAGGGCTTCATGACCCTCGCCGAGGGTCACCGGCCCTCGCTTAATGGCCGACGAGGGTTGTCGGTCAACCCTCACTAAATTTAGTTAAAAAAAAAAGAGGAAAATAAGAAAGAAAAGAAAATAATACAAAATAGAAAAAAATGTCTATGTTAGCATCAATAATCCTGCATGGCACTATTAACGCCCACATCGGTGGTTTCCGTTTAAAATTGGCCAGATGGACTCATTTAGTAAAACATCAAAATGTTTGTGACTCAATTAGTAAAATCGAAAGCTTTACGACTAAATTGACCAAAGTGCGATAGATTTAGGGCTTTTTAATTACCTACAAAAGGTTAATAAGTAAGATTCTTGAAATAGATTAAGTAAGTATTGACTTAACGAGACTTGACTCGGGATCACGTCCCGGCCCGTCCAAATGACCACATGAGGCCCGGCCCGGCACAAATGAGCAGTCCACTGTCTGCTGATCACCCTTATCCTATCTCCGCTTAACCAGCTCTTCCTCGCTTCCATTTTCCCTCCGAATTCCGTCCGCCATGGCCTCTTCTCCTTCTTCTTCCCCCCTCGCGTCCACGCTCAAGCCCCCCTCGAATTCCCCATTTTGCCCCCGCCGCCCTCCCTCCAAGTTCTCCTCCCCGCTCCTCTCCTTGTCCCGCACCCTCAGGCCCTTCCCTTCCCAGCTCAATGCCGCCTGCCCGCGCCGCTCCCAGAGGAGGACCGCCGCGCCGGTCCGGGCCCAGACGCTCGACTTCTCCGGCACCTTCTTCGAGGGCGGGCTGGGGCCCGAGGACGACCCGGGGTCGCCGCCCGGGTCGGGCGCGACAGCGGTGGAGGACAGGGTGGAGCCCCAGTGCCCGCCCGGGCTGAGGCAGTACGAGACCATGGCGGTCTTGAGGCCCGACATGTCCGAAGACGAGAGGCTCGCGTTGACCCAGAAGTATGAAGAGGTAATGAGCTTTCGAAACATCGTGATGCTTTAGACTTTTAGCTTGTTCTGCTTCTTTTGATCAGGAAGTGGAGGAAAAAGAAAGCAACAGGATTTTACTGGAGTGTGGCATGTTTTTTGCGTTATCCTGTATAGTATTGATCAGGCATTAGCTGTGGGAAGTTGATGATGCAGTTTTAAAGCTTTGTTGGAGATTGTGCAATAGATGCTGCTGAAAGAATTGAGAACACACACCTCAGGATTAGTTTGACTTTTGTATTTGCTAATGTCTCGAGCTGTTGCTAGTGACCCTTCATTTTACTGAACATTGGCCGGCCGGCAACAATCTTACACTTAGATGTGGTTGCAAGAAACGCCTCTACAAGCAAAATGTGCGATGTAACCCGGAGAGATATGAGACCAATAGCAATGAAACATTAACGGAAGAGGTGCAAAATATATGCATTTGGAGAAGGGGAACTTCTCCACTCAAAGGTTGCTTGCTTTTGCCAACTCCACTCCTGTTGGCTTTAGATTAGGAGCAGGCAAAATGTTGTTGTTTATCTGAAGGAACATAGTGGCATTGAATTTTTGTTTATTGATCTCGCGCCTGGTTGTGATTCGAGTGCATAATAGGGGCTTGACTTCGTATGAGGACTTTAGTCTGAAGTGATGGCATTTTTCCATAGGTAACAATGACTGTGTCTCTTCTTATTACTATCTGAGGTAATTGCATGTTCATGATGACAATGGTCTTGCACTTGGTTCTGATTGGAGTGCATAATATAGGGGCTTAAGCAGATCCTTTGTTGGTATAAGGATGTTAGTATGAACTGATGGCATAATACATGATACATTACCTGCTTCATAAGTCTAGGTTAGAACCATTGGGGGTTGCCCTAGTGGCCACCCTTCCCACTTGGGGAGGGAGAGGTGGGGAGTTCGATTCCCCACCTTCTCGAGGGGTTGGGGTGGGAACGCATGAGTGAGGGAGCAGGGTTTTGGAACCCGCGCACAGCACATAGCACACACAGTGGCTTGTAAAATAGATATATGATACATTAGGACCAAACCCAAAAAAAATAAAAAAATCTAGGTTGGGTTTTGTCTCATTATGGTTATTACATTGCATGAAATTGAAGGACATCTACCCTCTATAATGTCTGTCACGATCCTTAAAATGAAAATGAAGAGATATTAATGCCCTAACTTGCTTCTTGTAGTTTTTAAAAAACTTTGCATTGGGTAATATATGATAAACTGAGGCTATACTATTGTCTTTTACAATATCTTAATGCAATGAACTTCTGGAAAAAGAAATGAGCTGATTGTGTTCCTGATGGCGTTATTGACTAGAAGGGGTTCTTCAAGGTTGATATCCGACTTGTTTCATATAATCATCTCCTATTATAATTATAACACATGAAGAAAAAATGGCTACATTATTTAATGTCACTTATTAGTTCTCTCTCTCAGTGGGAAATCTCCTCAGGTTCCTTTTCTGCTTCTGATGCAAATTTGATGCATCTTTTGTTGTCTTCTTATCCATAGATTTTGGAGTCACGGTATTAAGGTAATGGGGGCACTTAAAACATTGAACTGTCATGAATCTTTGATTTTGTTGTTCTTTCCCTCGTTTTCATGCACTTTTAATTTCAGTGTCAAAGTCTGTTTAAGGCCTTCATGAAGCATATACTGTAGTAATTTGATGTAATTTCTGGACATTTCAGACGATATTGCCTGCTTTCTGGTATATTTGTACTAATCATCCATTTGGATCTGTATAAGCCCTGCATTTCTTTTTGGTTCTGTTACTTTACGTAACACCATTCAGTGGATCTGCTTTATGAACTTTCTTCCATCTATAATGCTTGCGACATGATTGATATCGAATCAACTACTATACTTATCAGCTTCGATATGGTCTAATTCAGTGCAAAGTTTAGCTTAACTCGATATGTGCTGCCATGAGCTTCACAGCTTCTCTATTACCATTTTGTTTACGAGATGTCATGTTTTCTCTCCTTGGTTATGTCGCTTCTGTTTTGTATTCATGCTTTTCCATTTCTAGCAGAATTTGTCGCAATGGAAAGGATGTTTAGGCCTGAGCATGCTCAGAAACTGTGTCTATTGTTGTATCACCAATGTCACTGGATACAAGTTGAAAGGACTAATGAGCCCTATTGGCAGCTGTTTTTTTCTTACCTTTTTTTTTGGAGGAGCTTCTCAAGTGACAGTTCAAGCTGCATGCATATTACTTGCTACTTGCTAGTGTCACGAACTCGAGTCGTCCTGCTAATGGTGTACATTGTGCAGCTGCTTGTTGCTGGAGGTGGCATGTACGTCGAGGTTTTCAACAGAGGCGTGATTCCGTTGGCCTACAGCATCAAGAGGAAGAACAAAGCAGGGGAAACTAACACCTACTTGGATGGTATCTACCTTCTCTTCACCTATTTCACCAAACCCCAGTCCATTGCAACTCTGGAGGCCACCCTGAACGCCGACGATGACGTAATCCGGTCATCCAGCTTCAAAGTAAGAAAGAGGAAGTATAATTAGTTTCTTTCGTAAAATCACGGGTCTCTCGCCAGAGGTGGAAAGGAAGCAAAATTCTCGCATGCGACTAATTTTACTTGTGGTTCTGCTTTTGCAATTATTGGGGGTCCGGCGTTATAGCTTCTTCTTTCCTTTTTTGACCCTTTTCTGCTGTAGGATAATCCGGTTGATAGAGGTGGGCTGGTAAGCATAACCGTGGCTTGTATGTTGTGACATGAAGCTTTATAAAAGAACAGTTCCTGGAAATTATCTTGCATTTTCCTTGGTTGTTTGAAGTTCTCGTGGGATGTCCCCTTCTCTCTCTCAATGAAGTTGGTTGCAATTTCACATTCTTGCACTGGAAAACTGTCGTTATGTATGTTTGGTATACAACGAGGCAAAATTCATCTGGCCTTTCTTATTTAACCTTAACAAAACACCTGCCATGCAACGTGTATCATGTCCCAGGGAAGTTTCCCAAAAACGTACCTATTCGAAGTTCAATCAGCTTCTTGCAAATTTCATATCTTTGTCTTCGCTCTTATTGGCTTCTCGCTCTCCTAATAGAGGCAAAGGCCAAGTAAACAACAAGCCGCGCGCAGTGACGTAAGATAACAACACGAGACACGCTCAAAATGCATCGATCGCACAAAAGTGTCTAGAAACATCTACGGCACGAGGGTTCATCAAATCAAATAATATCGCATATAATACTCCCAAAGGTTGAAACCTCGTAGACAACTAAGATGTCTAGTTAGTGTCCCGATGATCGTCCACTGACCAAGATCTCGAAATTATTTGAATCTAGCATAAATACCTGAGTTGGAAGGCACTAACCATAAAATTAACGATCTTAATCGTTTCTTTAATCACGAATATCCTACGTGAGGGCTCTACAACTTAATAATAATAATTTTTCCGTATACACACTAAGGCCACAACCAGATATGTCGTGATCTAATAGTGGTTGGACTAACCCTTTTCAACTACAACATGATCGTCGTCACCCACACCATCGACGACTATAAAAGGATAAAGTGGAAGCACTTTTAATAATGTTAGTATTATTCTTATCGTTGGTGGTATTATTTCTCAATCAGAAAAAGAAAAGGAAAAGCAAACGTGGGAGAGAACGAGAGATACACATTGCAGCGTCACTGAGAAAGAGAATGAGAATCCGACTTTCAGTGGTGTAGTCGTAGATCTTATCTCTTTCCCACTATGCGAGAGAGAGATACAGAGAGGGAGAGCTTTTGTTCATGATCCACCATCACAGTGAGAGCTCTATCGATCCATGTGAAGGTAAGAAAAGTACGTGCTCCCATCGATCATCAACAGCTGCTAAACGAGAAGCAAACAAAAAAGAAAAGAAAAGAAGAAAAGATGGCAACTAAGGAGAGTGTGAAGGATGTCATGATATTGCAGAAGACTTGAGTGAAGTCATCTCTTGGTGGGTCTCATAAATCAAGTCACTGAGAACAAGATCTTGTTGGTATTGAGTTGAGTTGTTAATTGATTAACGTTTGGAAGGAATGAGAAGACGAGTTCGATTTTGCCTAGCCACGAAGGCTTATTGTGAAAAATTAGATGGTGTTTGGTGTAACTTCTCCGCAGTGATTCCAAACTTGTGAAGCTGAATAATTGCTTCTCTGGAGCTGTTCGTGTTAAGATGCACTTGTGAGTTGTGTTAGAGAAGTCCCACATCGAATAATTAATATGGTGATGAGCTGTTAATATATCATAGTTGACCCATAACTCATTAGCTTTAGCTTTTTACTCATAAATATACTGACAGGCTCAAGCTTGAACCCCTTCTTGACAATGTCTTATTGTTGGGGTTATCTTACGTCAAGTGGACACTTTATAAGTGTGAGGGAAAGCCTCATGGTTAGAGCTAGCTTTTGGGGTATGTTCCCATCTTTGCCCTTGTGCCTAACACATTCTTAGTGTACTTTGCTTTCGTAGCGTACATAGTTTTTGGGTCTCCATCCTTTGATTTCGATAGATCTTATCTCTTTCCCACTATGCGAGAGATAGAGAGCTGTTGTTCTTGATCCACCATCTCAGTGAGAGCTCTATCGATCGATGTAAAGGTAAGAAAAGTACGTGCTCCCATCGATCATCAACAGCTGCTAAACGAGAAGTCCACAAAACAAGAAGAAGAAAAGATGGTAACTAGGGAGAGTGTGAAGGATATCATGATATTGCAGAAGACTTGAGTGAAGTCATCTCTTGGTGGGTCTCATAAATCAAGTCACTGAGAACAAGATCTTTTTGGTATTGAGTTGAGTTGTTAATTGATTAACGTTTGGAAGGAATGAGAGGACGAATGACGAGTTCAATTTTGCTTAGCTACAGAGGCTTAGAGTGAAAAATGAGATGGTGTTTAGCGTAACTTCTTGGCAGTGATCACAAGCGCGCTCAGATGAATGTTTGCTTCTACGGAGTTATTCGAACCAAACTTGTGCCTAATGTTGGGAAAATCCCTTACGATGTTTTGAAGAGTTTACTGATGAGTTTTAAGGTTAAGTAAATCAGGTGAAATATGCACAAGCTATTATGCAAATGGTGTCCTAACGGGACGTTTAAAGATTATGAGTTCTCTACAATGGAGAATAAGGTATTGGGCATAAATGTGTCTACAAGTTGGGGTACCTGAGTAGAAGGTGTACAAGCCTAGAACGGGGAGTTCGGTAAAACTTGGAGATACCATGGATAGGTGAACAACAAGGTAGAGCCACGATTGTCAATATGCTTGGAATGATCAGAAGATAGAATCAAGAGTGAAGTTGATGTACTTTGCTTATATCAAATGTATCAGAAGTATGAAGTGAAAGACTGACGAAAACTAGACAGACCTTTATGGAGGTGAACAAGTCATGAAGAACGGAAAGTTTGTGGAGACTTGGAGGTACTAGACAAGGTGAACAATCTACAGGATTTACATCACTATCAATTGATTCTATGGGTGACCCAATCTACAAGAACTCAAATTGATTGACTCCAACAATTAATTTGATCCTCTAATCAATTGTCCAATGGATAGATTGGAGATTGATCCTTGTGAAGATTTTCCAATGGGTAGTTTGGATGATGAGAAGTATATAAGAAGATCAAAGACGCCGAGAAGAGTACAAGATATCTTGAGTGCAAAATCCAAATTTAGAGAGTGCTTTATATTCTTACATCTTGTCTTTTGAGCATACTCATATTGTAATTTCTTGAGAGGTGTTGGCAATGTTTTAAATGTGTGCTTAGGTTGAGATAGCTTGAAATAAGTAGCAACTGTTTTGTGAACAAGCGCTTTGGTATAAGGAGGCATACACGACTGTAACTTCTCATCAATTGCTAATGGAATCCATCCAATGAAGCTCCGTGTTCATAGTTTGGGAAAGTGGACATAAGCTTTCATCAAGCTGAACCACTATAAAGCTATGCAGGCATCGTTTTTTATCTCTCTACTTATTTCAATATTTATTTGATAGAAACGCACTACAATTGATACAATCAACTGCTTTCCACTTGTATTCAACTTGACATTTATTATTCCGTCATATTTTGTCAAGTTTCTTACTATCACTTATTCAACCCTCTCTAGCTGATATTGGCTAATATCACCTAACACATTCTTAGCGTACTTTGCTTTGGTAGCTTATAAAAAAAATCACTTTAGGGATTCTATCCTCTCATTTGAATAGTTCTATGATGTAACATATATAACGAGTGCTCCTTTCTCTGAAATAATATGTCAAATTGCCATAATCCAACATGGTGCAACTTGTAAATGATGAATATCGATCGAATTATTTGCACGGGGATCTGGTGAAAAACCATTCTTTGATCCTTCCGATCATGACTAATGAAGCACCAACTTGATCCACGCATTGCATGCTATTAAGGCTTGCACTAGTTAAAGTAGAAGCTGACACTCTTTCCCAGGCAATAGCTGTCCCGTGGCATTGCTCTCTCTAGGCCTATTTATTCTTCAATGCTGAGCTTTTGCCGATAAAGAAAGAATATTTGAAGATATTTAGGAGGTTAATCTGATCGGACCTTCGCTTTTTGAAGTAGTGCGTGGATCGCTTTCTTCATTTTTAAGAAGAATAAGTTCTCCCAATTCTATTGGTACAGGGAAGAGGGGCCTTGGCTTGGCCCCAACACCCACCTTTCTTTTTTTCAATATTTTCATAATTAGTTCCAAAGGAGATGAAAATGGCTGTGTTTTGCCTATGACTCAATTTATGGCCTTTGATTGATTTATTAAATGTTGAATCTAGCGTTTGTGTGGTCCATACTCCCCATCGACAAGAAGGTATGGGGGCCCCGCTTTCTAGTGAGCAAGCGGAGGTTTGGGGGCTTACCCTGGCGAGGATCGCGGGGCAGCACTACTAGGCCGCCTGGGGGCTTTTATAGTTTGGACCCGTATTTTATTTGTAATTTAGATTTGAAAACATGAATAGATACTGAGTGGCCTAGGCTTTCTTAGCCTCTAGGGTTTTTTTGTGCCACATAAATATAATATATATAATCTTTTTCTTATAATTGAGAGTTGTAACAAAAAGGTGGAGGTACTAATTATAGTGGAATTATATGCTAGATGTAGCCTTAGTTTAAAGGTGAACCAAAATAAATACTGGTGTCTCGATTTCTCTATCTCGCCTTTAGTTTCTATTTCTTTGTGTTTATAGGCCTAATCCTAACATCCAGTGTATTTCACATATATTTGACAATTCGAATCATTTGATTCGTAATGGACTGGTTGTAGATAAGAATTAACCGAAAGATGATCGTACCTTCTCGATTGGACTGTCTTTTTTACCATGTATGAGCCAATTTTAGAACACAATTAGGGAGGTTAGGTTAACATCTACACGAACTCAACAAAACCTTTTGTCAATTGGAAAACACACATGCCTACCTTACACATCCTCTTTTTCTCTCTCTCTTTCAAGACAATGCCTACCTTGAGCAACTTGGCTCAACTTAATGGGAGACCAGAAAGGAAAAAAGTATTGCCTAACTCGAACGACTGCTCACGTAATGAATCAAATCCATAACAATATTTTTATGGAAAAATAAGTCCTATGCTGCAAGAGTAAAGGAAGGTTTACCCAAGCAGCCTTTTCAACCCTTGGTTGGAGGATTATAACAACGTACTTCCCCAAATCAAGGGTGAATGAAGCCATTTGTGTAAAATTTCCTTAACACTAGCGATATCTGCTATAATTACTCAATTTTTAACAAATAATGGTGTAGTGTAATTAATTAGTGAAATGTTATTACTTTTTTTTTTTTTGGTCGAAGAAATGTTATTACTTGTGTGTATAGAAAATGTATACACGAGTATTACTAGTAAGAGAGTTCCTCTAAATTGTAAACCTATCATTGATCGGATATATGAGCTTGATGTGTTTCGGGTACAACAATCAGCTTACTTAGAGATCCATTGAATACCTTACAAACCCCACAAGCCGGTTAGGATCAGACATTTTGCCTATGCATGGATGACCCAATCAACTCAACCAATCCCGAGGTTTCTTATGAGCTTGCTGTTTTGTAATTCTCGACTACAGGAAAAAAAATAGATAAGTGCATTGAAAGTCTTAAAACTTATCACGAAAATATAATTAAGTCTTAAAACTTTCAAAAAGTGCAATCAAGTCCTAAAATTTATCACGAAAGTGTAATTGGGTCCTAAAGATTTCAAAAAGTGCAATCAATGGAAGGATCAATTTGACAAGTTTCCGTTGATTGTATTTTTTGAAATCTTTAGGACTCGATTGCATTTTAGGACTTAATTGCACTTTTGAAAGTTTTAGGACTCCATTGCACTTTCGTGACAAGTCTTAAGATTTAATTGCACTTTTGAAAAGTTTTTGAACTTAATTGTATTTTCTTGATAAGTTTAAAGACTTTCAGTGTACTTATCTGAAAAAAAAAAAACTTTATAGCATCACTAATCACTAGGCAAGGTCCATCCAAATCAATAATCATTTGGAACTTCTCTCTTTCTTCGGCAAAAAACTGGTAACATCACTCATCACTCCACAAAGTCCATTCAAACCAATATTTATTGCAACTTCTTTTTCTTCACCAAAAAACAAAAGAATTCGTAACACTCGTCACTCAATAATTCGTTTAGTTTGAATCATAAATAATGTAAGACAATGACGTGTTTATGAAATGCCTCATACTTTCTCATATTCTAGGTTGTTAGATGCATGAACTTGCCAATGATGGATAAACATAAAGAACCTAAAAAAATCTAAATAGCAAAGACTCACCTTATTCACCATAACGTGTCAGCAGCATTCGAGACCAACATCTTCCTACTTCACTTCTCAAGAGACAATCACCAACAACTTTGGCGTTTAAGAATTCGCTTAGCTAAGCATGCCCAAACCAAGGATTTGCGCTTTTTCTCATTATTAAAGTTGGGCGCCCGAGTCACCAAGATAATCATAAGTTAAAATATCGTTAACAAAAAGTTAGGATGGCATTATGCTGTTCAGGGCCATGCCTAGAGGATGAGGACAAATGGGCCTTAGTGGCAAGTGTGAGGGCCCATCTCATTGTGGTGACTCACCGGTTAAGTGTGGTGGTAGTCCCATCAATCGAAAATGAGGGAATAGATACCACGTTCTATTGATGTCAAAAGCTCTTCCCATGGCTTCCAATTTACTAACAAAAAGCTCTCATTTTTTAGCAATTTTCCTCAATCCTTCAACAAATTTCAAAAAGAGTCTCTATCTCTCTGTATAGAGCAAGCTTTCTTCACATATATATAGAGGAAGGAGGCCTATGTAACCTCCTATGTGTTTGTCTTTATCAGCTCTAAACTTCGCACATATATCGACATAGTTTCTTTCTTTAATTTTTCAGTAAAGTGTGTGAGGAGTCTTGATGGGTCTTCCTCAATCACCACCAAGCTCACCACCTCATCTGTATCCTCAGGCCCTTCAGCTCAAGCTTTATCAGGCCTTCATATTCTCCATCCCTATCCTCTTCTCCATCATCCTCTTCTTGCTGTTCTACCTCTTCTACCTCAAGAAGAGGGCCTCTTCTCTCTCCTCTCCCCGACCTGCCCTCCCAATATCCTCCAACCGAGCACCTCCTTATGTCTCCTCGGTAAGCCCCGCCCCACCGCCCGCCCACCCCCCCTTCTCTCTCTCTCTCTCTCTCTCTCTCTTGCAATTGACGAGTTTGTGTTCGGCGATAACTTAAGGATGTTACTATGCGCAAAATATTCAACTATTCGTCCCATTAGTAGGATTCGATCCTTTTCGAGCTGTATAGACTTGAATCTCTGCTTCTCTCGGAGATTTCTTTAGATGGAATCCAAAGTCGGGCAATGAACGAATCCTAATATTGCGATTTGCGTTTACATTTTGCAGCCATGCCAAGCGGGATTGAAAGGAGAGCTCAAAGACAAGCTTCCCATAGTATTGTTCGATGAAGAACTCGGCGCAAAGGACTCGCAGTAAGTCCGTCGCTTTTACTTCGTCTCGTAATCATTGATTCTTGGACGCTTAATCATTTCGGTCCGCCATCTTTTTCAACCATTGCACTACGCACGATGGGTGTCCGATCGATACTTTGGCCTGCGACATATGCATCACGTGGCGCCATATCGCATCTGTCCACCCAGTCGTGGCTTGGTCCACATGAAAGGTGAACGACTGAGATTTGACTAGTAATAATGGCCGCCCCCTTTTTCTTTAAAGTTGGATGCCACTGCTTAAAGAAACAATACAGTATGGTTTCCAATTCCTTCCTCGGTGAGAGAGAGACCTATGGCTAAATCACCAATATATTCGGATTGACGAACGCGTCTTATCTAGCTGGTGAGGTTAGTGATGCGTCCCATGCGTCGGCCTTTACTTATCTAATATGAGATTCTCGTCACTAATAGAGAGAATGAATAGTTCATTTTTATAAAATTTTGCTCAAACCACTAGACTATCCGGACGAGTGTACGAGCACAATACGGCGCATTATGTTTGTGGAGTAGGTTCCGAGTGCACCCAATACACGTGGCCCCGATTCAAACAAAAATCAGTAGATCAAATGGGTCTCGCGCGGATGTGCGACCTACGCTCCCATGCATCTTTAGCATGAAGAATATTTCTTTCCACGTTTGTACTTTAGGCCGTGGAAGAAGGCATCATATTTAGATAGCCAAAAGAAGGAACCGAGTCATATTTGGTTGAACAATCACAGCTGGTGCGAGCACTTTGAATCTTTGATAAGAGCCGCTCTTTTTATTCCCATAAAAGAGAGCCTGAAGAGAGAGAGAGAGAGAGAGACTCATGTAAATGGGCTCAGTATCTATAAAGTAATTCTCATGTTCCGTTGCACCACAGAATATATCTCTTTTCGAGTTTCGGCTGTTTACACGACACTTTTCGAACACAAAAAATGGAAACAGAGTCGGGTCATTTCGATACCAATGTTCATAGTCAAACGCAGAGAGTTATTAGTAGCCATCGCACACTATAAAAATCTTATAAAGCGAGTTAGTAACCACTTTAGATGATTCTACTGTTCGGTTCTTAAAATATCGGTAAATTTGTTACCGATCGCCTGGTTTCTCGGTACCTCAGTAGAAATTTATTAACACTTTTATGAAATTTCTGATTCCTCTTTCAAATATCTGTTTTCGTCATCTTTTACCCACTTTTACTTATTTATCTTACCAACACTTTAAGTTTACCGACTCTTATATTAATTCACTAATCTTTATTTGAATTATTCATCAACTCTTTTTCGGTTGAATTAGTAATTAATTTTTAGTTACCAATTATTATTTGAGTTACTAGACGATACTTTTTTTATTCTTTTTATTAAGTAACCAATTTTTGTTATAGTTTACCTACTTTTATTTTTCTTTCTTTTGAACGCATTAAAATTATCAGCTTTCATATTTTATTCATTAACAATTATCTGAACGTACCAACTTTTCTCCCTTAATTCGTTATTTTTCATGAAATATTTGTTTACGAAAGTACATAAAACTGAAAAGGTAGAATAATGGAGAAATTAAAAAAGAAAGCATGGCAGAAGTTAAGTTGATTATGAGCAATTCACGAAATTACTCAGGTTGAAATGAAACTTATTTGCATATATGCAAGAAAAGCTAGAGTTCGACTCGGATAGCCAGTTAGATGTTGGGGAGGGTTAACTCTTTTTCATGACATCTACTCATCAACAGCTCTAACGGTGACTTTGACTGAAATTAAGAAGGAAATCATCTTCATTTCCTGACATTTGCTAAGAGAAAAAGTGCGGGGACCCTCTGTATCGTACGACCTTCTCTTCGTGTCTCGATAAAAAATCCCAATCACCGATTTATGAAAATGAAAATATATCGAAGGTTGATTTGTCGAGGCACGAAGAGAGCACAACACGGAATAGATGATTTTATTCAAAAAAAAAATCAAATACCCATTTTTTAGAAGTCATTTTTGGATGCATCGTAAGTTTTAGATCACATGAATTTCACGGGAGATTCATCAATTTCAACATTAACAATTTACATTCGATTCGATTAAGAATTTATCTTCTTCTTTTTTCTCGAGGAAAGCTGGCATGGCATCTCTTCTGTAACCATGAATATGACAACAGGTGTTGCGTGTGCTTGGGAGAGTTCGAAATGAAGGAGGAGTTGCTCCAAGTGCCGTCCTGCAAGCACGTCTTCCACGTCGACTGCATCCACCACTGGCTCCACTCCAACTCCACTTGCCCTCTCTGCCGCTGCTCCGTCGTCCCCGCCGCCACCAAGTCTCACGGCCCGCCGCCACCCCACCAAGACGGCCGGAGCTCCTCAGACCCTGGGCGGGCGCTCGTCCGGCCCGATCTAGAGCAGCCGCAACAACGTCGACCAGAACATGTCACCATACCAATCCAAGGTTCGAGCTCAAGTGGGGATGCTTGTGTTGTGGAATCACAACCCGTGATTGAGAGTGTCCAAGCGCTCGAGTCTCTACGAAGCACAACATGAGAGGCTCTCTCTGTTTTTGGTTGGGCATGAAATTTTAGGGTGAAATGCTATTGTAGTTTGTAGAGTGGAAAGTTTTGTTTCTTTTTTTTTTTTTTGCTGCTCACACTTTTTTTTTATGGGCCAAACTTGAAAAGTCAATCTCAAGTCTAAACAAGAGTAATAAAAAGACCAGTTGATCACATTTAATAGTTCTTTGAGTAAAATTTGATTCCACATAGACACCTTACATATATATCACGGATATACTTGGTCCAACGAAAAATAACTTAAACAAAACCATACATTATTAAGTAATCTTTCATGCCAGAGAAACTAGTAAACTACAGGATAAAGAAGAGACTATGAATGCCAAGACCAACGTAACCTTGCTAGGCATCCTTCCCTCGTCGCTCCTCATAAACATGGCTTTGTAAATCGGCCAACAATTCACGACCCTGAAACCGGCCAACAAAGGCTGCGTTTGGCAACGCAAAGCCAGAGGCCTTTGGTAAATTTTTTGCAGAGCTTCGGAGAGGATGCAAATTGCAGATTCAAAGGCCTTTTAAAAGCTTTTAGCCCAAGGCGAGTCCGGAAGTGTCATGGACTTTGAGCATTTCCGGAATGTTAATACATTTTTTTCTTCTAGCTTTGTCCTCGCTAAACTTTTCTAATGTCCTCACCTCACACGACGTCGCCGGTGAGCGGCTCAAGCCTCCAGAGGCCGGATTTGGCACCGGCAGCCTCCCCTGAGGTCGTGTGACCCAAGCAATGGTCACCTGGGTCTCGCTTGTGACAGATCTAGCTCGGCGTCGGCCCGCCGGCCGCTGAACCCTTTGTCGGTTTTGAGGTTTTTTCTAATAAAAAAATAAAATAAAAGTCATTCACAAAGTGTAATTTTTTTAAATACCATTTAATCCAAAATTAATTCCCAATGCATTTTTAAATTACAATGTACCATATATTACTTGCATTTCGAAAAACCCCGTTAACCTGAAGTCATTTGCATTTTTCCAAAAACTTTCCCCGGGAGCCAAACCAAATGCACTCAAAATCTGCAACTCCACCGGTCCTCTTTACGACAACCCTTATCAAACCTTGCATAAAGGACACCAAGTTGATGATCGCCGCCACAGCGAGCAACACAAACATCGATGACACAGCCCCGAACTCGAAAATCCCTTCCTCATACTTATTGCTCTGCTTGTCATCGAGGACCATGCTCATGACATCGAACCCGTGCGCCACGATGCACAGGGGCTTGAGCGTGGACTCGATGGTGCTGGATGCGTGGCTCGTCAGGCCGCGTATCAACCACGTACATCCGCTGGTCGTTCCACCATTGCCAGAGGGTCCGCCGTGGCCGGCTAAGACGAAATCGGCCAGGTCTTGTGCGTAGGCCCCGAGGAAGAGGAAAATGTATAGGAGGAAACCCCGGTTCTGAGACTTGAGACAATGTTAATGGGTTCATGCTAATGGGACATGGCATGTACTCATGAGATCCAACTAAAATTTCGTTGAAAGTGCTCTTCTGAAAACATTTTATGAGATTAATACATATATTTTTATTTGGTATATTGATGGGGAAAATTGTCCAAAATATCCGAAATATATTATACGATGGCTAATTCAGTTATAAATTTTTCAATGTGGCTAATTTAATTCTAAACTTTTGACTATTTTTCAATGTAGTTCTTTCAGCTAATTTGACTGGAATTCGTTGGCGTGACAGTCCAATCAGCGCCATCCGTATCACGTGGCACAGTCGGTTCTAACATCGATGATCTTTGCAATTTTTTAAGTTTTTTTTCCCTTTTTGGTTCTTTCTTTTTTCTTTTTTCTTTTCCCCATTTCCCTCCACTGGTCATCGCGGCCTTGGCAATGGTTGCCTGTGGCCAGCGACCTCTGCAGGCCATCATCAAGGCCCTGACGATTGGTTGAGGGAAATAATAAAAAAGAGAAAAAAAAAGGAAAAAAGAAAAAAATTCAGAATATTTTTTTAAAATTGCAAAGATTGTGCATGTCAGTACCGACCGTCCGTCGGCCATAACCTGTAGGACAACCGACATCCACATTAGGATTTCCGGTCAAAATTAGCCATAAAGGCTACAATGAAAAATTGTCAAAATGTTTAGGACTAAATTAGCCAAATTGAAAAGTTTCGGACTGAGTTGGCCACCATACTATAGTTTTAGGACTTTTTGAACTATTGTCCCGTATACTGATAGTATAAATTGTTGGGCGAGGTTCAACCTCACCAGTGGCCGATGGGGCCAAGGCTCGCCCGAGGCCAGTAAGGCATTGCCAGCCCTCCAGCTGGAGGAGGAAGAAGGGAGAGAAAAAAAATAAAAAAAAGAACAATAAAAAACATAAAAAAATTCGAAAAATATTAAAATATTATTAAAAAATATCCACGTCAGCTCCACATAGACCGCCCGACGTCCATGTCAGCAATTTCCAGCTAAAATTGATTGGATGAACTCAATTGACAAGAAGTGAAAAGGCTTATGACTTAATTGACAAAATTGAAAGGTTTAGGATTAAATTGGCAAAAGTGCAATAAATTTATTACTTTTTGGACAATTTTCCCGTTTATTTCCTAAATTTGGTTAAGGAAACTTAACTATGTAGACAGTATACGAGTACAGTCCCATGTAGTCATTTACTTTGTTTGTAGAGCCTGTATCAAGTGCATCCAATCCATGTACGCCTAATTTTCATGAACCGTTAAATTAAGTGGGTCTCACGTGCCAGTCTCATTAAATGGTACGTGTGAGTTAGGCTCACATGCACCGTGGTTTTTTTTTTATGATTCTTGCTCATAATTCTGATGGATAACTTTAGATCGTAGAAGAACGTTATGCCCTTTAGGACAAATCAAGAACACATCATCTTTACATGTCAAAAAAGGGACGGGGCCATATTTGGTGGAAATCACCGCTGGTACGAGCACTATGGATCTTTGACAAGAGCCGCTCTTTTTTCTCCCTCTATAAAGTAATTAACGTCCGGTTGCTCTTGCTTCATCTAATATATCCTTCTATTCCCTCTCTCCAAGTAAGAAAAATTTTCGAAAGGAATTGAAAGAGCAAGGCATACGGACACCAGCATATTAAAATAAGAAACGCAGTCTGGCAGTTTACGACCTATGCAAACACTGTCCGAAAATTTTGTAACCCGTTTAAAGTCAAAACACAGTTATTATTAGTCATTGCACATTACATAATCTAATGTAATGGCTTTCTCTACTTCAGTCATTGAAACCAATTATGAACTTATCTTCATTCCCTAAAATTAACTAAGAAAATTGGGCGTGGACCCACGGTACAGTACGTACTCCTCTAGATGTCTCAACAAATAATCTCCATCATTTTATCAAAGGTTGGGATTTGTCAAGACACGAAAGAGAATATTGCACAGTATAAATGATCTTATTCAAAGAAAAATAAAGTACCCATTTTTCTTTAGCACATTTTTTTACGCATGTTAGAATTTAGATAATGTGGATTCCACGTGAGACTCGTTAAAAACACTCGACTGTTGACAAAAAAAAAATTTGCAGTGGGCTCGTTTGTGTCCGCATCACTTGAACGTTTTGTCTTTTTTTCAAGGAAAGCTAACAGCATTCATCTCTCTAACCCTGAATAGAGCAGCAGGTGCTGTGCGTGCGCTTGGGAGAGTTCGAAATGAAAGAGGAGTTGCGCCTATTGCCGCACCGCAGGCACGTCTTCCACATGGACTGCATCCACCACTGGCTCCCACTCCAACTCCACTTGCCCTATCTAGAGAAGCTGTGACAGCTTCAACAAGAACACGACATTGTACCAATCCAAGGTTCGAGCTCGAGCAGGAACGCTTGTTTTGGGGAATCACAATAAGTGATTTGTGAATGTCCAAACGCTGGAGTCTTCACGACTCACGACATGAGAGCCTAGTTGTTGTGAGGAAACGTAGGACAGCAAAGTGCGAGCAAGGAACGAGTAGAAGTGAAGCTCACAGAGAAAAAACTAGAGTAACAAGAAGACCAGTTGACGAAAATCGAGTAAAATTTGATTCAACATATATCTATCTATACATAAATGTATAAATAGAGTATATCTCGATATGGAAAGTACCAACTTAGATATCTATGATGGATATACTTTGCCTAACAAGAAATATTTTAAAAAGAACCACATATGTCCCTTTCATCTCTCATGCGAGAGAAACTACAGTATAAATAAGAGACGCTATGCACGCCGAGACCAACGTAACCTTGGTGGGCATCCTTCCCTTGTCACTCCTTATAAACATGGCTTCGTAAATCGGCCAACCATTCACGACCCCGAAACCGGCCAACAAGATCTGCAACACCAACCCTTGCACAGCATCGACGTCGCTCCTCCTCGCAACAACCACCATCAGACCCTGCACGAGGGACACCAAGTTGAAGATCGCCGCCAGCGCCAGCACCACGAACATCGGCGACACGGCCCCAAACTCGAAAAGCCCTTGCTCGTACTTCTTGCTCTGCTCGTCGTCGAGGACCTTGCTCGTGACGTTGAACCCATGCGCGGCGATGCCTAGGGACTTGAGAGCTAACTCGATGGCGCCGAACACGTAGCTTGTCAGGCCGCGTATCAGACACATCCGCTGGTCATTCCACCACCGCCGGAAGGTCCCGTTGTGGCCGGCTAAGACGAAGTCGGCCAGGTCTTGGGCGTAGGCTCCGAGGAAGAGGAAAATGTATAGGAGGAACCATGGTTCCGAGACCTGCGAGAATGTTAATCTGTTCATGCTAAATGGGACATAACATGTACTCATGAGATCCAACTAGGAGATGGTCTAACGATAGTGCAAAAAATTTCTCTACAAAAGGGTTAGGATATACTACACTTGTATACGCATATAGTTCTTAATTTTGGCAACTATATTTATTCCATTCACAGATGGGTGCTTCCATTGATGGTCCTCGCCGGTACAATATTGCGAATTCAATGGAAATGCTAACGGTCAAAATTTGTTTAATTAAACTGAATTTAATTCAATTAATTTCAAGTAATTCAGAGAAAGTCTACCATAGTTGGGCACTGACCATCTCTATGCATGAATAGAAGTCATCGATGGAGGGGCACGGGCCGGACCCAACCCTTAAAACGAGCCTAACGTGTAAAATAAACGAATCGAATTGGACTCCATAACTAAGTAGCCTTACCCAAGCCGCCTCAAAGTGCCCTTCAGGCACATGCCGCCCTGCGGTATTGGACTCAACTTGAATCCGTAATATTATTTCTAATTTTTTTTGCTTCGTGAAACCCAAGATCGAGCATTGCACCCCTAATGTTAGGAAAGGCATAAATGTAGTACATACCTTGGGGAAGATTGAGAGTCCATTGATAAGAGCAATCTGAGGGAGGAAGGCATAGATGGTGATGGGGATGGACCACAGGGGCCAGAACGCGTAGTGCGCGTATGAGAGGCCCATGAGGAGGCCCATGGACCGGATGCCGTACGTGACCGGGCTGAACTTAGAAAAGCCCACCTCGAGAAGCCCGACGGCCCATCTCTTGTTCTGGTTGACCACGTCGATGAGGCAAATCGGCGCGTCCCCTAGAAACGCCGCCCTCTTAGGGTGGCAGAAAGCTGATCTCCACCCCTCGCATTGAAGCATGTAGCCTGTGTTGTAGTCCTCCACAAGTGATCCATATCTAAAGCCCACCTAAATAATCACGTTCAATTTTCAAAAGAGAAATGATTAAGTGACAGTTCCTAATTTATTATGAGATTAACGGTATATTATGAACCACAATAAAATAAATAACAAATAATTATAAATTATTATGGGGTCCATTCTTTCAAGAATTTATGGGCTTACAATACGCTATTGCTCTCGTAGTGGGTTAAAGATTATTATGCTAGTAAAGCCCTTTTAAAAACTTGGAGATATTAAAGTAATTAACCCTGAAAGAGGCTCTAAAAGGAGAAGGAAAACAAGCTTGCTAGGACATGAATGAAGGCTTACCTTGTGGCCCCAGTTTGTAATTGCGTTGTCCTCATACTTGCATCCGGCCACCTTTTGTGCCAATGCCAACGTCTCTTCCGACCGAATCGAACCCTTCGGAATGTGCTCGGGACTCAATTCCGGGATCTCTGGCAGCACGATAGCCGAAGGAGCGCCGAAGAGGCTCCGCCGCCGGAAGAAGCACCCGGTCCCGACGTAACATGGACCGTTCTTCATTCCAGCTGGGTTGATTTGGAACAAGCGCTTGAAATCGCCGCCGTATATGTCGCCTTCATTGATCCCTTGGTAGCGTTGGGGAAACTGAACATACCCAAGTTGGGACTGATCCGTCGAGGGGTCAGCTAAGTAGCACAACGCCCGGCGAGGTGTTTCGGGGTCGTTCGAGCACATGTCACAGTCCAGGGTCAGAATTATGGGCGCATTGGTCATGACCGCCGACACGCGGAGCTTTCATTCAAAGAATTGTTAGATAAATTAGCCCTATAGTTATACAAAGAAGAAATCCAATGGTATCCTTTAGTTTCAAAAACTTTTACCTAGAAATACACTGAAAAATCGGACTACTCGCACAGATTAAGGGTTAGGGTTGGATGGCAAGTTGCTAATGAAGTCTCATTCATGTGCATTAGAACTTGTTCATCTTACACTTTTACAAAAATGCCAAATCATTTAATTGAACTTAGATGCATACAAGCTTTATATTAGTCTCTTGACTTAGCCAAAATTTCCATCAAGAGGGAACAAAATGGAAAAAGAACTAAGTTCCTACTCCATATGAAACCTACTGATCGATCAATAATGTCCTATATACATGTTACAGATGTGTATTTGGAGTTAAAAAGTTGATTATGATTTCATGTGGGAGTCATAAAAATGAAAAGGTCATAACCAAAATCGAAATAATGAGCAATCAAAGTGAAGACAAGATTTACCAGGGCATTGAGGGCACCAGCCTTAAAATGGTGGGGCACGTTCTTGCTCTTCTCCCTGGAGAGGTAGATGAGATTGGGCATCACATTTCCGGCAAGGTCTCTGTCTCTGCTTTTGTCTAGCAAAACCTAAATCCAAATTACATCCATTATCAAATAACAAAGATAAGTCCCTTGTGGACTCAATATGTACAATAACTAGAGTTATGTCGTCCGACAAACGTATTGAAAAATAATACCTATATATATGAGAAAACATTGTATAAGCTCTATGGGCGACGTGGTGGACAGGAACCGGTCACCCAATAAAAACTGTATGAGTTATATTTGTTTCAATGGGACCTCACGTGGGGTTCCACAGATTCTTAAAATGCGATCGACTCGATCCGAAAATCCTTACATTTCTAGATATACGGGTTAGAAATGCAAAGCATATATAGATCGAGAGTATTATAGCTTTGATGTTGCAGTTTATGCATCTACAGATAATCTAGGGTTGTAAATTGAATACCTCAATGACCGCAGGATGATTTTGGCGGGTGAAGTCATCTGTCCACTTGCTAAGAGCTCGACGCTCGCGATCTCCGTCGATGAACTCTTCCCCAACTTTCCCTCTCTCTACCACTTGCTCAACCCGCACCTTCATGCTCTCGTACATCATCTGCAACATTGCGTAGCCACGATTAGCGTTTATCAATTATTGCATAATTTAATTTGCATGAAATTAGTTAACTAATTGCTATTGCAACGTCTCATTGTAACAAGAAAAGTGCCAAAAGAAATATTCAATGAATTCATTCGATTCGTATCCTTAAAAAGAAGTTGCTCCACTCTTATTGGCAAAATTCATTTTTCCTTTCTAGAAATGATTGAGGCGATCCATCCAAGGGAAAGTACAATATCTTGTAATAGTATAAGTTGGAGGTGACCTGGTCTAAGACTCTAAACAGACAAAAGTGTCCATTTCATGGGCATAAATATAATATTCGAATCTCGAAATAATTGAGATTGAAGACGCCGTATCTTCCGGGGATATTGCCAAAGACAAATTTCTGGCGGGCGTGAAAACTTTGATTGCGATTTTAAACTTTGGTCAAGCTTTCAATCACACAACGAAACGTGATTAGAATTGCATTTAATAATTAGACAGGCAGTGGACTCTATGCAGACCGGCACTCATTCCTGATTATCGTCCCTTAAGATTGTCTGTAAATGACTTAGTCTTGTAAGTGACATGGTAATGAGTCGTCGTCGATTGTAACACACTGAGGGTTGCAGGAAGATAGAATCTTTAAGTGGGCAACGCAGAAATTACGCTTAGAGCCATGGATTTGGTGGGAGGGCCACGGTAATGGTAGTAGTAACGGTCGAAAGTAGGAAGATCGAAGGCGACGATGATAGGTTGTAACACCGAATTCGTGCAGCGGTGAAGGCGAAAACCTAGTTTCACAAACAACGCGTGAAAAGGAATCTAATGCTAATATAAATAGAGGAGAGAGAGAGAGAGAGAGATCTATCTAAGTGATTAAGCAAGAAACTAATTAAGTAATTTGCATGCGCATGATCGATCATATCAACTTATAGATGACCCTCTAACCTAATCTCAGGGTATATGCTGATAATGACACCTTCTTCTCTATTTTGTACTTGATTTCAAGTCATTAGCTGCTTCGTGTTGCAGTGGCCCTCGTTCTTGGAAGGGACGATAAAAGTTTCGTATGGGAACAGCCCACTTGTGATTATTTTTAATTTACCAAAAAAAAAATTTTTGGTCGAATAATTTACCAATTGAGTTTGTCCAAGATACTTGGCTCGATCCGTTAGAATAAGGCCTAACAACTCTCTTTTCAAGAATCGTGATGATGGAGAACCCCACGTTCATTCAGAGGCTATGATGCCACCTGCTGGTCTTTCGTTTGTCCGCTTTTGACCCTTGATTTTTGTGAACTCTTGGAATCTCTCTCGAAGTGCGCACCATGAATCGGATTCGATCTCGCATAATATGATATGTCGAGTTTGATATTTTTACTAAACTATGTTGTCGATTAATTTTTTATAAGTTTTTTTAGCCCAAATACATTAGGTCTACAACTTTAGCCCGCGGCTCGCTTGTAGTATATGCAACGTGGAATTGTGAATAATCATATTTGTGAGTATACCCTTTATTTGCTAAGCTAAAAAAATTACGTATGAGTAAAGAAAAAATACGAAATATAAATCAAAAGGTACATGCTACTACTAAAAAAAAGGAAAAAGGAAAAAGAAAAAAAAAGCGCCACGGATGTTGTAGACCGTGACATGAGCTAGAATTCATATATGTAGCCCAATTACGAGGACTGTTATACCATTGGTTGGGCGATGTTAATTCATGAAGGATTTCGAGTACGAAAGGTATAATACGGACAATGTTAGAAAAGTAGCGGAAGACCGATACCTTGTCATTGGAAGATCCAGAGTGCAAACTAAGGACAATCTCATTGACTAAGATAATAGAATTAAATTCCACTTAAAAGTTAAATTAATTAAATTATGAGCATAAAGCGTGCAAATATGCAATTGGGGAAGTAAATAGGGGTCTAGAAGATTTGGAAATTCCCCGATATTGAAAAAACTTAATAGGTTTTCTAAATCAAAGAGTGAATTCAAATTATTCTAACCTTCTGTTATGGTAATCTTGTAAACATTAGTAGCAAAAAAGTTGAATTAATTTGTCGAATTTCAGCTGGAGCTGAAAGTGTGTTTAGTAACTTGCTAAATAGTGATTGATTCTATTCTTTTATTCCTGGGTACAAAAAAAGAACAGAAATTCATTTGGTAAATTTTTTGTTTCCGGACATAAATTTGTTCCCAGAATCAGTTTTGGAACATAATCAAGAATAAAAAAAAAAAGTTGATTCTTGATTCTGAGAACAAGAATCAGAAATAGAAGAGATTTTTTTTCTAATTTCTTTTTCTTCTTTCCTGACCGGTGGCCAGCGACTGGCCATAGGCCAGGGCAGGCGAGTACATGGGTCGCCCTCGCCGGATTCGGCGAGGACCATCGTCGAGGCTCGTGGCCTGGGCGAGGGCCGTCCTCATCGGATCTGGTGAGGGCGGCGGCGAGGGAGGCCCTCGTCGGCTCGGGTAAGGGCTGGAAAAGGCCGGCGAGGGTCGCCCTCGCCCAGGCCACGAGGGTCCTGCCCTTGCCCTCGCCAGCCATGGCCAAGAAGGAGAAGAAGAAAAAAAGAAAGAAAGAAACATTAAAATATTTAAAAATATTATTAGTAAAAAGAAATTTTGTATAGTTATCAAATACATTTATGTTCTTTTTTTATTTCAGGAATGAAAATTTTGGGCCGTTACCATATGCTTTCAAATGCTTATAAATTATTTTTGGGAACAGAATAAAAAAAATTATTTTTAAATAAAAATTATTTTCGAAAATAGAATGGTTATCAAACGTACTCTTAATCAAGTTCTCAAGGGAAAATAACATCTTTTCAGCCAAAAATAGAAGCAAAAAAACAAAAACTGACAATAGTATCCGACGCGTGTATGATGCCAAGTGTGGTACGTGAATTATGTGAGCATAGAAAGATCACCGTACCTTAATCTTATCAATTTCAGCGCCACCACAATGATTGGACGCGAAGTAAGCCTCCGGGCTGCGCTCCACCAGACTCCTCTCCCTGCAAAACGGCAGCCAGTGGCCGGCAAACCTCGCCGCCTCCATGAACGCGAACAGCGTCAGCTCAGACCCGCCGTCATCGGAGACATACACCGACAACTTCTCTGCCGGGTACTCGTACGCCATCACCGACAGCGCCGTGTTCACCACCCCCATCGGCGGCTCCTTGTAGGGGTCCGCCGTGCATATGAACATGTCCATCGCCGGGAGGCCCATGGCCCCCGCCACCACCTTCTCGAGGTTCTCTGGGAACTCCTCGTTGCGGGTCGGGTACATCCGGAAGGACTGGGAAGTGCTCCACATGAAGGCAAGGACCGCGTCGGCGAGAAGCAAGAGGAGGGCGGCGACGGCGTGGCCTGCGGTGGCGGGGTGGAGGAGAGTTTCCACATGGTGATAGAATAGGGCTAGGATGGCACAAGCGTAAGCAAGGGCGAATGCGCGGTTCGGGACTGCGCGTCGCAAGAGCTTTTGGGAGTTGAGAGGAGGGTGGATGGCGGCGGCGGCAGCGGTGGCTGCAGAGGCCACGCTTGTCTTCGGAGCCACCATCCTTTCTTACGATAACGCAATGAGTTCGGGTGTTATCTGACTGAAGAAACGGGGAAGATCGCATGGTCTATATATATTATCTTTGTCCTAGAACAGTAGTGAATGCATAACGTATAGCCTTAGTTTAGAAAATTTGAGAAATTTTACCTGCTAGATGAGCAGTAAAAAACTCAAATTATGTTTAGGACATTGATGTTATCTTTTTTTTTTTTTGCAAAAAAAATTGATATAGTGCATTCTAGAAGAATAGGGATATTTTGTGAATATAAATAGTCATTTGATTTAGGGTTTCCAACGACCATTTTAACCTCTAGGGCCGTGGGCTAGTCAGAAAAATTACCATCCCCACTGCAAATCGATTGGACCCAGTCAGAAAAATTTCCATTTTATTTTATGGTGAATCTAATAATTTGCCTTATCTCTTTACCTTATCTTCAACGTTTGAAAAGTGGTAGGTATGGCTCCGTGTCGGATGTCAGAAACCTTTGGGAGCATCTTAGTTTTCTTCGAAAAAATCCCAACATAAGAAAATCAGGGCAGGTCGACGATAGACCGGTTAACAGCAAGATTTATGATTTTTTTTTTCTTATTCTTTTTTATGTTTTTCTTTTCTTCTGTTAGTTATATGTTAACGAATTGTGAAAATGAGTATAATAAAAAAAAACACGGTGTCGGTAGCAAAATCGACATTTAAATTTTCATTAGTATTCGTAGTTAACATCGCTCTCTATGAACACGCGTATTTATATAAGATAAATCATATTAAGTCTGTGAAATTGATCCTTTTATTACTTCCATCATACTTTCTGATAGCAAAGTATTTTCCTCGTGCAGGTTGATTAGGTCTCCTTTAATAAGTTGTCCTTGGCTCTGCAACCAATATTGTCGGAAAATACAAGGAATAGATTAATATGATTTTACCCAAATATCTATAGACATAGTTCTATTTCACGGCTTATCTATCCAAAAGATTAATCGAGATCATACATGGGGTTTAGATCGGTGCACCACGTCTCCTTTGCACATGTGGAGCTGTATGTAACATGATTTTCGTAGTTCTGAGAGTCGAGTACTCTACCGGAACTATGTGCCGAGCCCTGCATACTTCTTCACCTCCATCCCGTAACCCTAATTTTTGTCCCCTTAGTTCGTTAGATTTTGTGGGTGGGATCTTCAAAACTAGACGATCTATGTTCATGGCTTTCTCTTGCGGTCCGAACATCTAACGCATAGTCGCCAAAATGAAAACATCCCAGAAAGTACAAAAATGAATGGATCCGAAGATCAAGGCTCCATTATTTATTTATGGCATTAAATGTGATCTCGCCTCGTGCCTTTCAATCCATTAATGCCACGATAGATATGTAAACTACTTTCTCATGTAAGAAATCAGTATAGGCTTTCAAATTTCTTTTTCATGGAATTGTGTACTAATATTTTGGAGCCACACGTGTATGACAGTGCGTGTATGCTTCCAATGCGAGGGCAAAATTCATTGTTATTGATATTTTTGAGTTTATATTCTGTAAAGTTCTCGCCATTCAAGTTGGATTCGTCTTTAAATAGAAGACATGTCAAAATTGAGCACACGAGAGAGAGTAGAGAGAGAGAGAGAGAGCACAGAGAAGTTATGCATTGAAGATCCGAATTTAAAACTATAGTAAAAAATATGATGCTCGTGCGCATTTTCATTGATTGCATTTTTGGAAGTTTGGAAAAAAGACATAAATGGTCCATGAATTTTGATTCAATGTGTAATATCGTCCTTAAACTATTTTATTCAATGTGATTCCTGAACTTTTAAACATTTTCATATAGTTTCAGAATTACATTAAACATTTACTAATAGTTCAGGAACCGCATCAAACAGATTAAAAGTTTAGGTACAATATTGCATATTAGGTCAAAGTTCGGGAACTACATTATACAGATTAAAAATTCAAAGACAACATTACACATTGAACCAAAGTCCGTGGAACATTTGTGCTATTATCCCCAAAAGATTGTTCAAATACTTGCCATATGGTTACCTACAAAAATTGCTAATTGAAGATTGTAGGTTCTCCCTTTTATTATCATCAAAGTGTGCATGGAGATTTCTCTTTTAAGACAATCTTGGGACATAGGCGTGGAGATCGGTTATCCGGGCTTGTACAGGTACATCATTTTTGGGATGAACAATTTGTGACCAGTTAGATGTGATACAAAATATATATGCTGGGAAAAGGGTCCTATTAAATAGAAGATATGGTCCCTAACTTATTTTGATCCGTCCACTGCTCACCAATAATGAACAATTGTAATGACTTTGGATGAGAATACAATCTCGCCTAACTTTTCTTACACTTTAAATTATTTGTAATCATATATTGTTAAGGTGCACATGTAATTAGGCAAATGAAATCCCACATCGGGAATGTGGTTCAATTATGGAGCAGTTAACACATCTTAGTTGGTCCATAATTTATTGGTTCAAGTGTTCAAGTGAAAGTGGGTCTAATTACATATGTTGGTAAGTTTGGATTGGACTTCTTTTTTATGATCTCCCTAGATGATAGTAGCGAGCTTGTTAACCTAAAAAGTGGTATCAGAGGCGATGGCAGATTGGTAGGTCTTTAATGTGGATCGGTGTTTGATGAATATCTCAAAGAAGGAATCTCGGGCGTGACTCCCTAATCGAGATGCTCGTCTTCCTATCAAACTTGGTTGGGCCAAGATGATTGCGGTAAAGTCCAACTTGGTAATCTTCCTAGGTGAAGATCTTGGTTTCTACTGCATCGAACCATCATATCTAAAACGAAATTACCTAATAACTTTCTCTTTTTGCCATATTGATGCATGATCGTGTGCTATCATGAACAAAAAGAATACTAATTCACGAATTTCGAAATTTCCAAGCATTAATTAGTGACATGGCACATCCTATATGCTTGCAGAAGATGCTTCTTTCATGAGTAAATATAGTCGGAGAGAGTACCAAAAATAATAAAATTGTCCCTTGTTGTACATAGGTGATGGAGGAGTATACATTAATGTCTAGACATGACATTTATGATTGAAGTAAGAGACTGACAAATCGATTCTGAGGTCCATATTTTGCTTCGACTCTGAGAACTATCTTTCCTCGACCAACTTGAGGGCAACATGTAAAATTTGACCATTCTCCAATCTGAGAACGAAAAAAGAAATCTTGCGAATGGCACGCATCTCCATCACCTTAAACTCGATATTATCCTCTTTCAATTTCTATTTATGAAACGGAATGCATATTTTCTCCAACCGTGCCTCTGACTCGTAAGATAACAAGTCATCGCGTGCAACCTAAATTCAACGCACTGATGTCCGGAGGTGGTCTCTAGTCTAATCAATCATTTCCTCAAACTTGTTATTGTAAGAATTTATACATGAAGCATGTCTTTGCAAATTCGCTTGTACTGTTCTAGAAAGCCTCCAATTCACGTACTTTACAGGCTGATCGAGTTGAGAGTTCAAATTGAAGTCATAATCAAATAATTTCCAATGCATATGTGAAAAATTTGTGAACATCAACACAAATCAAACCATACTCGAATTGATTTCTTGCTAGGATTAGATTCTAGTGAACCAACTTAAAACACAATAAACGCTTTGTGATAATTCTCGTCCAGATCAAAGGTTATTCCACCCTATCGAATTGGTTTAGTGATTAAAGTACTGGATTTTTACGCGCAAATCAAGGATCCAACATAATTTCAACTCCATGCACCATCAAGTACAAACAAATTTATATTTAAAATAGTGACGTGATTTTAAGGCGTTACCTCCTCCACAAGTTAGCGGGCTACTTTTATTTCATGACTTATCAATCCAGGTGGGGTTCCAGCCATAAGAAAATGTTTGTGAACGAAAATATCCGGTGAAGAATCTTGAATGGTCTATGGGACACCAAGCCAAATTATTGCTATGGAGAGGTCGTTAGACTCGTGACAACACTTCAAGATTGATGAATCGTCAAGGTCGATGTTTTGTACACCTTACAATTTGTAGGCACTGGATTTGACACTTTCTTGATCGCCGTCGGCATCTATTAATTCCAAAGACAGAACACTCCGCCAGTTGGGTCATCGGTTGAAGTAGTGCTCTTACGCTTACAAAGAGAGATGAAAAAAAATATGAGTATAGAGTAGACTTTTTTTTATCTATGGCAACGTTATTTTCACAGATTTAGTATGGTTAGGGGTCTCTTCGGAGACATCCGATAGTATGGTTAGGGGAAATGAAATAAAAATTTTAAATATGGAACGAGCTAAGGGGGTATGTATCCCAAATAAAGGATCATAACTTATAACCCTTTTCGCTATTTAAAATTTGACAAGCTCCATTGTTAATTGAATTGAGATCCTCTAAATTTGACTAATATACATCACAAATTTAGCCCCTTTAACTCTCTACTCGACACTTCGGAAGAAAATCACGCACCTACTCCTCCCAAGCAAAGACTCTCTTTCCACAGCCACCCCATGCTTGTCCTCACACTAGCTCGCCGTAGCTTTCTCTCTGCGTGCCCTTCGAGAAATGTCTCCTGAGAGAGAGAGAGAGGGGGGGTGGGAACCACAGTGTTGTGAGTGGCAATTAGAGCTGCGTTTGCTGAGGCCTATGACTGGTAGGTAGTCCTGATCAATGAGCGGGTCAAACTTAGTATTGAACAGAGTAATTTCTTGCCTAAGCTCTCCCACAATTAAATATTCTAAAAAATTTATACGAAAATGACAGGATCTAGATGTGTTTTGGTGGGCCAAAGTGAGCATGCCGTGTCTAAGAAGGAAATTTCTTGTCTAGTCTCGCTCGTTTTGCCCTTCGATGGAGGGAGGGAGGGAGAGTGTGTGTATGCGTGCGCGTGAGGGAGTTTTGCAGACGAGTAGCAACTTGGAGAAGGAGAAAGAAGGAAAGGGATGAGAGAAGATAAAACACAAAAATGGAAAAGGAAAAAAAATAAGGGAGTAGACCTGGACCATTAAAAATGAATGTGCTTATATGTCAAGTATTTAGAAGTGGTAACTATTTTATTTATTGGTTGAATAATGGGGTAACTTAGTTAACAAAAATTAATAAAATCTCTGTCGGAATTCATTTTGTAGGTCCACGTCATGAAAAAAGCTACACTGCAAAGTAAATTCAAACCAGAATTGCCTAGGCACCTACCGAGTTCCTATAAAGTAGACGAGACCCGCTCTGAAACTACACTTACATTGCATGCATCGTGGAATTTAGATAAACTCCCAAGTGGGGTGGTTGGGTGTTTGTGGATGACCCCCAATGTCCACATGTAGTGGTTGAAGTACTGCTCTTCCGCTTAGAAAGAGAGATAAAAATGAGTATCATGTAGATTTTGTTTCTCCATGGCAACATCATTGTCCCGAATAGGATCACAACTCAAACGTTTTCGCCATCTAAAATTTGACAAGAGCCTCCCCTGCTAATTGAATTGGGATCCTCTAAACTTAACAGGTATATGTCATAAGCCGTTGAACTCTACCCTGCGCTTTGTTAAAAATCACACACCTACTCCTCACAAACAAAATCTCTTTCCACAGACACTCTCTGCTTGTCCTCACTCTACCTCGCCGTCGCCGTAGCTTTCTCTCTACGTGTCCATGGCGAATTGTCTCATTAGAGAGAGAGAGAGAGAGAGAGAGAGAGAGAGAGAGGAGGGGAAGGGGGAGGGGGAAGGGGAAGGGGAGGGCGGGAGCCACAGTGATGTAAGTGGCAATTAGCGTTGCGTCTGCTAAGACCATTGAGTGGTAGGTAGTCCCGATCAACCAGAATTGCCCTGGCAATACAGTGCATGCATCGTAGGATGTAGATAAACTCGTGGATTCAACAGTATTTGTATATGTTGAATTTATGTCTCGAGTTTGAATCGTTTACGGAATGTGACTCGCTTGGATAAATTTCATATTTATCGTGAAGATATATATATTTTCTTTTGGAGAAAATATTCAAAATTGCCTATTAAAGAATTCCTTTCTGGTGGCACGTAAAGCGAAGGACGTCTTCAACAGAGAAGGAAAACTGGTGGGCCCTGGTCAAAGTTATTCTTTGTTGACTCTTGGAATTAAATAATAAAATAAAAGAGAAAGAAGGGGCACACGTATAAAAGGCATGTTATCTTCTGCGAGGGTTTCAAGCCGCACACGCACATAGCCGCACTAGCCGCGGCTGAGTCTGTTTTTATTTTTTGTAATTTATTATAATATATTTTTTAAATATTTTTTTAAAATCGAGTTAAACCATTATTTTTATTAATAATAAAATAAAGGCCTGTTTTTGGGTGTGTTAAAAGGCCAAAGACGCGGTTTTTTATATCAATGGAATTTTTTTTTTGTTTTTATTAAACTTTTAATTTTTTTTCTTTTATGTTTACCACTGTTTTTATTTTTTTGTTGGTAGTTATTGTATAACTCATAAGTTCAATAATGCAAATACAGAGGATCGACTATACATGTCCTTTTCTTTCTTTGCTTGGATAGTAAAGATTATTATTCATAATCGATGCCGAGTACACTTTGGCCATTGAGTCGATATGCGGAAGGACCGTTTTAAGAGGAGAAGCATCAAATTTAGAGACACTATAATCGTAAGCTCAATCTAAACGCGTGGATGAAAATATCATCATGCAAAACTAAAACCCTAGAAGACCTTAAAACCTTCATGCCAGAGAAAGTGCAACACCAAGAAGAGACGCTGTAAATGCAGATGCCAACGTATCCTTTGGTGGTATCCTTCCCTCGTCACTCCTCGAAAACCTTGCTTCATACCACCAGCAATTGACGACCCCAAAACCAGCAATTGCAACACCAGCCCTTCCACTTCCCCACTTCTCTTCACAACCATCTGCATTAAACCCACCATGAAAGACACCAGGTTAATGATCGCGGCCAGAGTGGCACGGACATCGGTGAAGTTGAAGGTGCTATAATTCAATCACAGCAAATGAATAACTACAGAAGTATATGGTGTTAGAATTCAATGGCAGGTGCTAATGAAGTCTCAGGCTACGCACTCGCCAATATATGTCTTGCAAACCGATTTTTCCATCAAAGAATTTGCCGTAGAAAAGTTCCTCCTCAAATTTGGATCCTAAGTCTCAACAATGTCATAGGGGCAGGTATTATCGAACTTGATAAGTTCGGCTATGGTTTCGCGAATGAACTTGAAAGAGAATATATGACGCACATTCAGGAGAGTCTGTGCAATAAAAAATGTAAATCCTCTCGCGTGGGGGGGGGTCGTCAAAATGAAAGTGTGAGCAGAGCAATAGTCGAAGACAAGAATTACCAGGGCATTGAGGGCACCGGCCTTGAAATGGCGGGGCACCTTCTTGCTCCTCTCTCCGGAGAGAGAGAGATGAGATCGGGATCACGTTTCCTGCAATGTCTCTGTCTCTGCTGTTGTCCAGCAAAACCTTTCCCAAATTACATCCATTATTAGTAACAAATGTGAGCCCCATGTCGACTCATCATATACAATACCTAGAGTTATGTTGTTTACACATATTCATTGAGAGATAGCTGCCGACAACCACCAAGAGTTGGCAGAACTCTTGGTTCGGATGCACGAGTCCCATGATCAAATCGCGACCTCTCCGGCTTGGAGCAATCTTGAGGACAATGCCTTTCCCGATGCCTAGGTGGAGCCTTTCTCAATGAACGCGGACCATGTGCACTAGACAGTTCACAAGTCGCTGTGTAACACGGAATAGTAATGTCGGGGGTTGCGATTGAAGTACCTGCATGACAGTGGGATGATCTTGCCTCGTGAACTCATTCGTCCACTAGCCGAGAGCTTGGCGCTCCCGATCTCCATCGGTGTACTCTTCCCTGACGTTACCTCTCTCGGCGACATGTTCGACCCTCACCTTCACGCTCTCGTACATCATCTGCGACATTACCAGTCAGCACCAACAGTAGCACCATACGTTGCCATGATTAGCTATATTAATTAGCTGAGGGACATGCGCGTTTTGGTTGTGTGTTTCCTCCAACCCCTCGTGGAAAACTCGACCCTTCTTTAAGTAATGGATAGAGTGAGTGATGAATGCGCCATCTTTCTGAGTATTCTCGTTTGGGGGCATTTGATTGAGCCTCTTTACATACTTTTTTTTTTCTTTACATACTTATTATTGAGGAAATGCATGCATATACTATAGTCACGTCATCTCATGCTAAAGAGACTAGTATACTGGTCATTTGAAATGTAGTAGAGGAAGGCTTTATCAGTAATTTCTTGAAATAAGGTTTATTCGGATGGATCTAGGTTCGGGTATGGATAGTCCGAATTGTACTTTATAAGATGGTAGTTAAATGGGACAGTTTGATCCAAATTAATACGTGAACTATCCAAACCTAACCCAATTCACTCATTTGTCACCCACGTCTAATGTAACCAAATCGTACCTCCCTACGCGATGGCAATTTATTCCACCAATCACAGTTACGTACTTTTTTAAATACTTTAAAATATGACAATATGAGATATGTATGTTTCAATTAGATAATAAGGCCTATATGATAGTACATGCACATGTTACCTAATAAATAATAAAAACCTGAATGAAAAAAGCGGAAAACGATCTCTATATACTTCACCTTATATTAAAATTAAATATGAATAAAAGTCACTATTTCACATATTCAAGGATTAATGCTCGACTCAAGCTCAATCGAGCTTGATTTTTCAAGTTCGAGTTTGACTCGAACAAGTTTTCAACAAGCTCAAGCTCAATTCAATTTGATTAATTAATAAATTTTGCTCGAAACTCAAATTAAACTAGAACTTCAACTCAAATTCTCAAATACACTACAATTGAAAAACCAATAATATATATCTATCTAATTATTCATATTATAAATATATACATACGATACAATTATATGAAATTCCAATAACTCGATCATTGGCTTGCAAGCTACTCGGAGTCAGGTATTTTCCAGCTCAAGCTCAATCCAGTTAAGAAATCGAGTCTATCATTTTCAAGTCGTCTAAGTGTTTTTTTGCGCCATTTTCGGTCTCTTTCCCTGAATTTGTCCTTTGGTGGGAACCTCCATAGGTGGAATATGCACCCCACGGCAAAATTATTGCCCAACACAAGGAAAACATATGATTCAAAAAGTTAGGGCTCTATTATTTTGTACCACTCGAGTCGAACTCGCCTAGTACTTTTCGGACAACTAATGTCACGGTCAATTCAATCTCGGACGGAAAAGTTATGGCACCAAAATGAAGATAATAAAAAATATCGAGTAGGGTTTTTTTTTTTTTGTGTTATGCTATCAAGCCGCGAAAGGAGAAGGTACTTTACTACCGGCAAAGTCTTCGATCCAACTCTTCAATACCTATGGCACGTCGTGATATTTCCTTTTTCTCGTACGTACTCAATTGATTGCTGTCGCTCCATTACTTGCCGTGGGTGATTGGGTGTCGGACAATGACTCCAACGTCCAGGAAGTAATTGAAAGTGTTGTGGCGTAAAGAGTCCGGCAATACCAACGCCGACAAGCATTGCAAGTAGAAGAGTGTTGTCGCTATTAGGGTTTTTCTTCTTCACGATAAGATCAGTTTCGATACATGAATCATTAAGAAGCCCATCTTAACTAGTAAGTTCCGGGTCCATAAGATACCCCACTAATCTTGTAAACACGAGCACGACGGAATTTACCGGACTTGTTTAATCGTAACCTATGATACATGCGCAAGTTACATCGGATTTGGCAAAAACGGTACGCGTGCCCCTGTCGGTCCCCAGAGAATTCCAAATTAAAAGCATGCGGGAAGAAAAATGTAAGTAAGAATGAAACGATAATTTGGAGTGGACCTTGGTGGTTGTTAGCATTGACGAGGAAAAATTTCCAAAAAAAATTTTAAATTTATTGCACTTGTGTCAATTCAATTATAAACTTTTAAATTTGACCAATTTAGTCCTAAACCCTTTTGACGTTTTACCAATTTAGTCCATATGGTTAATTTTGATTGGAAATTGTTGACGTAGACGGTGACCGTCTTCGTGGCACGGTCGGTGTTAACGTGAAATTTTTTTTGAAATTTTTATTTGTTTTTCTTTTCTTTTTTCTTTTCTTCTCTTTTCCATCTTTTCTTTTGTTTTTTTTTTCATTGTGGTCAACGAGCTACGGTGAGGGCTGGCCGCTTGCAAGGGTTGCAGCCCTCGCCCATGGCGACGATGGTCTGGGCAAGGCCTCACCGGCCGTGGGCGAGGCCACCTTCACTCGTGGCCTCAACGGCCTCGCTAGAGCTTTCTGGCCATAGTGAAAAAGAAAAAGAAAAGAAGGAAAAAAAAAAGAAATAAAGTTCAAAAATTTATAGAAAAAAATTGTCATCGTTAACGCCTGCTGGCCAACGTCCATGTCAGCATTTCCCAACCAAAATTGGTCGGATGAACTACATTGACAAATTGTCAAAATGTTAACACTAAATTGGCCAAATTAAACGGTTTATGATTAAATAGGCACAAATACAATAAGTTAAGGACTATTTTGGATAATTATCTGGCATTGACGAGGTAACAACTACGGATTACGTGCCTATGTGGTTATCGAGGTCCATAAAGCATGGTTTTTTTTTTCTTTTTTAATCTATCTTACTTTAACTCTCCTCACTTTCTGACTTTTACCCTGTCTCTTGCAGAGTGCGGGAGTCAAACTCTACATTTGTGATACTAGCGTTCCCGCCCCGTAATCCCTATACCAGAGGGCCGTATGCCTATTGGCAAGCAGATACATGATAAAGAAAACGGTTTTTCCCACGATAAAGCTCCAGCCATCTATGCTAATATTTATAAGGAAGAGGATCCCCGATTTCAAGGGTATGTCGATGACTCTCTTTTTCGTGGAAAGAATCCTTGTTTATTGTAGATTTTACGAAAATTCTATGCATTGACAAATCTGCTAACTAATGATTAGAAAATAATCAACTCGTGATTATGGCACGAGCATCCATTAACTTCATAATTTCCACCCCACTTGATTTTTTTTCCTGGTCAGACTCTTAATAATTTCTCATGATTCATGATAATCTAATCGACGAATAATTACACAAATAATTTCCACCCCCACTTGATTTTTCTTCATGGTCAGACTCTTAATAATTTCTCGTAATTCATGATAATCTAATTGACCGATAATTACACAAAAACAATTTAGATATTTCTATCCTTAAAATCGCGCGACTGTGATGATAGCAAAGTCCTTAGTTTCCTACCCGGACTTTAGCCCATAAGGTCAGAGTGGGGATTTGTTTACTAATCTAGATGGGTTTTCTCGTCATAAAAAGAAAAACAAGCACCTAGATTGTCAAAATTGATTGCATGATAATGTTTTTTTTTTTGGGGTCAAAATCGCATGATAATGTTGATTAGATGATTTTTGGTCCATTATGGATGGTCCACATGGACGGTCAACATGGACGGGGTAAAGTCGATGGAAGCGTCATGTTATCACATGCGCTTCTAAAGTCCTAATCAAACACTCTTATCCATTAAAATTCACATTCTGTCTTTTTTTTTCACAAAGCAATGTATTTTATTCCTTTAGTTGTTGAATGGACCTTCAAGAACTCACGACTAAGTCCGATTTCTCCCCCTTGGTCATGGATATAGTTTTCACTAAGTCCATCGTGTACATGCGCGCTTGTTTTCGCGTTCGTTTTCGCCTATCCGGAAATTTCGAGCGGAGAGCGTGATCGGGCCGGTTTTCCTCGTCTCGAACTCATATCGACGAATCGAGCGCAGTCGAGCCGCCGGAAAACTAGAGTCCTTTATTCCTTGGGGAAGATTTTGGTGAATTCACGACGTTGGAGCCCCGCTTGTGAGTTGTATTCGAATAACATAAGCTCAACGTTCATGGGACCGAATAGGCCCAGACCATTTGTTTCCTTCGTGCTACTCTCCATAACATTTGGTGGCCCAGCCTGTTATCGCCCCGTAAATTCAACTTTTTCTTGTTTTCTTCTCGAAATGAAGATGTGATTAAGGGGAAAATTACATGGAAAGAATGGATTTAGGGCAGAGCGTTGTCTCATAGCAATCGAGAAATTATCGAGACGAGTAGCTCTTGGAGGTGGACATAAGAAAGACGTCCTTTTTAGGATTCGAATTCGTGATTATGCTTCTCGCGATTGACAATTTAGTGTTGAGCTTTTAACTAGTTCTAGATTTGAAACTATTCTCCCAGTCTAATTCTAGATCTGAGAGCTCTCTTCTCCCGATTTAGATCTAGGAGTATAATAAATTTGCTTCCGGGGATTCGATGCCCCTATGCTCTGTCCGTGTACAAGTCATCTGCCTCCAACTTCAATGGTGATCGCGGGAACTCTATGTTCATTTAACCTATTTTGATTGTCTTCGTATGGCGATGGTGTAGAGAAAGCATAAACCAAAGCGTACACCGTTAACTGACAGTGTTGTAGTTATTAGAGGAGGAATTTGCGGCGTGTGCTCATCATTAACGAAGAGTGATCAGCCACCGATTTTTTTGCTTGACAAATCTGTTCTCGTGGAACGAGCATGTACTTAACTCTTCTACCGGTGTTCTATTAATCCTCTTTATTTTTTGGATTTATATTTATATTACAATATTCTAGGCTTTCCTCTGCATCGATTCGCTTTGTTATAAAGTTTATTTACTTCTCATATATTATTTGAGCAATTAATATAATTTTCTTTCAACCAAAGAAAAAAGTATAAAGTTGGCGGTATCAGAGTTTAGAAGGGCTTTGCTTGGGAAAACAGAGAATGGAAAGACGGAATAAGTGTTAATTCTATGTATTTAGTGAGCATGTATCAATTGATTAGCTAATTTTGGTCAAAGCTTTGTTATGAAGGAAAAATTGACCAAAGTCCTAGAACTATAAAACGGCAGCCCATTTAATTTTAAATCTTTCAATTATACCAATTTAGTCATAAATTTTTTGACAATTTACCAATGTAATCCGAAACCTTTTAACCATTTGCCAATGTAATCCCTTCGGCTAATGTTGGCTGAAAATCGCTATGATGGTAGTGCAGTCAACACTGGTCGTCCTACGTGACACGACCAGTGGACGATTTTAAAGTTTATTTTTTTATGGAACGGTTAGCTATAGACTTGTTTTTCCACCGGCGTCGCTTCATTACCCTGATACGATTGTCATGGAATATTAAGATAGGCGCCACATTAAACAACGTAAATGAAAACAAAATTAAGACATAGAGAGAGGGGTTCCATCTCAGCTCCCATAGCTCGGGCTCATAGCCATGGCCGCTTAATTTGAGCTCGCAGCGGCCATGGGCTCAAGTCGCAGAAGCTCACAGCAATCGTGTCCTAGAGATCTTTTCGAGCCATAAAGCTCAGGGCCATGGTTGAGCTCTCGATTATGGTCACTCAATTGGTGATCGCGTAAGGAAACCGGCTAAACAATTCAACTGGTTTCCTTGGGAAAATGAGAGGCTGGGAAGGCACCGTCATTTTTTTTAAAGAGGGACGGTGCCGTTAGCTAATCATTTCTCACATGTACCAATGAAAAGGAGACAATCCTCCAAATTCTAAAAGTGAGCGCATCTAGAAGGAGTCGCTTTGGTAGCTTTTACTCCAACTTATTGACCATTCTCATGGCTGCTCTGCCCTCGTGTTCAATGGGAGTTCGAGGGTGTTGCTCACAGTTCAAAAGACTCGTCAACCTAGTTTCATCACTCGGTCCTCGCGGATCCGAACTCCCATGATACTCACGAGAAGAAAACGTTTTCCAGTTCTATCCAAAAGAAAATCACATTTTCTGAAATTTAAGCTTTGATAGGAAAAATGACTATGAAAATATTTTTCGCGAAACAAACTGACCCTAAGTTTCCATATCGGTGGCATCATGACACCCGAAGGAGAGGAAGCCTCATCCCACCCCGAGAGCACGGGACGAGCAAGAGAGTCGATTTCGCGGAAGATCACGACAACCCGAGATCAAATACAAAGCATCGTGCTTCTTTCTCGCGAGCTTCACGAGCTCTTGTCCAATTGGTGGGAACACTCGAGAGGAAAAAGGACCCCCTCCTCCGATTGGACGTGCATTCTTTCTTCCCATGGACGTATAACGACTGGCAAACAACACGTCCAAGTCGCCAAAGACCCCATTCAATGGCGTCCTTCGAGGGTTGCTGCGACCGAGTCAGAATCTCGAGAGTGAGCAAAGCGCCACCATAATTGAAGAATAAAGACACACCAGATAAATCCACGAGACATATGGTTGGTTGACCATTAATTTGGCCAAGGTGGGGTATATTCTGCGTCCGATCCAATGACAAACCCCACCGAACCGATCGACACAACCCCACCGAACCGATCGACACAACGGAGATTTCGGCTTCGGCTTCGGTCCAAAAGAAAAACCAAAAAAGAAAGAGAAGGAAGGAAGAAAGGAAAGAGATTCGTCTACTAAACAAAGAAAAATCTTCGCTTCAGTAAAGCTCCAAAGCAGCAGGGGATTAGAATTAAGATTAACAACGCCAATAATGACATGCTTTACGCTAGTGGGAGGAGGAGCGAGGCGGTAATAAACAAACGAAAAGGATAGGATTTGATGGTCAATATAATAGGGAACGTCCAATCAACAGACAGCCCCGAGGAAGCCCGACAGGGGGGATTGGTGCGGCTGTGGCCCGATCGGTCCCACTTCCTTTCTCCTCAAAATTCCCCCACGTGCGCGCAACTGGTTCGTTTGAATTTTGGAGGGGCCCTTCCTAAAAGGCAAATCCAAAAGGCATCTTTGCAGATATTCTATAACTCAAGTCCCATATTTTCCAAGCCTTAATGCATATTAAAAAGGGACCAAAGAAAAGAAGGGAGGGAGAAGAAGAATGGAGGAGAAGAAAACAAGAAGGGAGGGGGGAAAAAGCTTTGCCATTTTCCATTTGCTGATGACTTCCAAGGATTCCACTTCCCCAATTAAAACATATCTACATAAAAACAAAAAGACCTTCCCACTTACATCCCACCCAAGAAGAAACTCCAAAGATATACACAGATTCTTGGTCCTAAAAACCTAACACAACATATGAAAACCCCCATCCCCAAGTTCCTAAGTGTGATTGACAGCGGGTCCCTATATAGAAGTTAGCTTTCACAAATAACGCCAAGTCCCACCATTTCCCCAAGCGATGCAAATTTCAGCCCCCCCAAGACAAGAAAAAAAAATGAAAATAAAGGACAAAAGAGAAGGCCACTTTGGCACAAGAGAGATTACAGACAACAAACTGAAGACAAGAATTGAAAGGGGGGAATAGAGGAGGAAAGAAATTACACAGGCACTGAGACTCTAAGGTGGTGTTAAGCTAGCACCCTTCATCTTCTACCGAGGACACGGGGAGCCTGCTTCCGGGGCTCATCTTCTTCACATCCTGACTCGACCATATGAAAATTCTTTTGGCCATGTTGCAGAATTCCCTGCAAAAAGGGATTTGCCAAACAAGAGGACACTCTCGGTTCAAGTGGCTCACAGTGTCTAAGGACCAAACTGATTGAAGTAGCAGTACAAAAATGAACTTACGGCCAGGGATCATCTCCCGCGAGCATCATGTCCCCTTCATCATCGGTGAAGACGATTTCCCACTTGTTTCGAGGCCTGAGCTCTCCTTTTATCTCAAACATCTCCTCGAGCTCATCGATAAGCTGATCATACTCTTCGAACATAGTCAAGTCTACAGCGCGACCCACAGCTACTCCTTGCATTTGAACCTGTGGGCACATATTCCAGCCAGGCCAAAAGTTGGTGACAAATATACAATGTAGAGAAAACAAACGATCACTGTATAGTTAATATAGATAATATTAGCCCAGATCGTCAGTCACAAAGTAGGTACCTTAGTGCGACTCCTTGCAGAAGTAGAACTTTGTTTGCTTCGTATCTCTTTTGGTGAAACTACAGACTGCCAATGAATTATCTCTTTCGAGGTCTTTAAAACAACAGACTTTTGCTGCATATCTGCTGCAGAAAGATTGCCCGGAGTGTGTGCTTCGTTACTGCCAGAAGATCCATTGAGTGGCTGAACAGTCAGCTTGTCCACTTGCTGAGAGTTTGAAGAACGATTTATCAAGTCAATGCCAAACAATCGGCAACTAGTAGTTCTCTCGGGCTTCTCACCCAGCTCGACCTTAGGCTCATTTCTCGGCTTTGGTGAGTGCATAGTTGAACTTGAGAGAAGTGGCCAACCAGAGACATTGGAAGAAAACTGCCTGTCCCCCTCAGTCTGAGGCCACGGCATAGAGCCGCTACTGGTGTTCACATTTGTTTGCTTATGATGCCAGATAACATGATTGTCACTTCTTTTACCTTCAATGAAAACACTTGGTTGCGTAGCATCACAGGACTGCATAAGTCCAGTATCATGGAGCGCTTGACCAGCAGTATCTACAATTATGAATGAGAAGACATTAGTTACCCACGACTCGTAAATAGAATGATATCTGCAGCAGAAAAGTAAGAATGAAGCTAACAGCAATGTCTTTGAAGAATACCAGGAGCAGGAATCTCAGCAATCGGTCGAGGCCTTTTGTTCTTCACCAATGCTGACTCTGTTACGCTCAGAGGTATAGACGGTGCAGATGATTCAATCTCCCACGGGGAAACTCTGTCTGGCCTTGGAACAGAAGCATGTTCGTCCCATTGAACCTAAAGGATGAAAGAGGTTCAAAAAGTCAGGACAATACTGTTGTAGGCGAAATTCTATCAAAGAGGGAAAGCATTTCCATTTAGTCGTTACCTTCAAAGATCGCCACTTGGAATCAGTCCATTGAGAGGAAATGTCTTCGACCCCTACTATAGTACCAGAAAACCTGAGGAGAGAAAATATGAGGTCAGAGAAGAATCACAAACCAAAATAGCTCCCTGAAAGAGTAAAAATGTGACTTCCATTACCTTCTCTCAGGAGAATCCTCTCCCTCAAACCTCATCTTGAATCTCATTCCAACGGTGAACTTATTGTTAACAGCTTCTAGATACTTGTTCAAGCTTATGATGAACTGACTTGTCCTAAGATTTTACCAAAAGAGAATTTAGCATGCTTCAATCTAGAAATGCTGACACAACAGCAGGAAAGAAACGTCCATTTGGTGTACCTGGGCTTATAATAGACGACAAACATGGTTTGCGTTGAAACAGCATGAGAGGCAGTTGCAAGCACTCCTAAGTGCATACTCTGACTCGATATCACTGATGCAGGCATGCTGCTCTGTTGACGTGCAATACGCCTGACACCCACACGAAGTTCTCCATTCTCCCCTCTATGAATGCATCAAGCAAAAGTACTTAAAGCCTTGACAACAGAGTGGGACAATCTAACGAAGTCAACCATACAAAAAAATAAGGAGTGCATATTTAAGAATATGAACAGCCTCAATACCTCAAGAACACAAAGGAATCACCAGCAACCAATCTCTTGGAAGTGACAAATGTACTCCATCCAGTTGTCAGCAAATGCCTACGTGGTTGACCTGTTCATAGAGTCGAGCGGTAGCACAAGTCAAGACTTCTATTTACTCAGCAAGCAACTTTAGAGAGCACCTATATGCACTTCCTTCATCTGGGCAAAAGCCACTTTCCTACATACACTAAAAGCGTTTCTTCTTTACCTCTGAAAATATGCTTAAATTTCCACTCATAACCATGAAGATCCTTCGCAACCAACTCTTGAGTTGGTGTTGACTGGGTCATATCCTGCGGAAGAAAATACAAAACAAGATGCTCACATGAGAAGAGGAAAGAGGGGGTGGAGGCCAAACAAGTTATAATGAAAATTACCAGAGGAGGAAGACACTCAGTCGCATGTTTCCTGAGAACAGAAAATCCACCGTGCGTACTCGTGTCTGAAGCAGTCAAAACCTTGCAAAAGCAGTGAACTTTCGGTCTTAAAGGCTCAGGCAGGCAAGGATCGGGACTCATGGGCTCAGTTTCCTACAGAAAACCATGAAAATCAACAGAGAGCTCACGATACAATCTTTCCCATGTACGAGCCTTGTACAAGAATTATGGTCTGACGGGGTCTTACAGTGGACTGTGGAAGTAGAGTAATCTGGGCATAAACTTCATCCGTTTCTTGTTCCGCCTAAATATAAAGAAAAAAAAATCGAAAAAAAAGAAGATCAAACGTCACGTTGAATTGCAGCTCCCATTTACATATCCAACGGTCATTGACAAGTGTTTTCAAGAACCCGGAAAATGCAGGGATCGAAGGGAACAAAAGATAGGAGAGAAGTCCCCGAGTTCATCTGATACCAAGATCAAACGGAAACTAGAATTTACGGCGAACAATATCATCTGACACGATTTCCCTTCCAACCCATTTGAAATAAGTAAAGCTCAAATCCAGTATAAGTGAAAACTCATGGGAACAGTTATCACATGAAACTGAAGTCAAGAGTCCAGACAAATTACCAGCAGCCGAATGTGTATAACGCTACAAAGTATCTTCGAGGGCAGACTGAACAGCGGAATCCTCTCGTTTAGCTCCTGATTTGTGGACGCCTCCAGCTGAAACCCGAACAGCATACAGATTCAAAGGCAAATAATTTCTGGGTTTCGACCCAAAGAAGGAGGAAGAACCGTGAAAAGGAAACTAAGTTAAGACGAGAAACGTCAAAAAAGATTCGTGGCTAAATCTCGGCCGGTTCCCCAACCAACAAACAAAAGAAACGTCGATTCGGACGAGGGGGAGGGAAGGGGGGGAGCAAAGAAATCGTCCGCAAATGATGCTCACTTGTTCCATGTGTCCTTGAGGGAAGTAGAAGACTCGCTCCCCGACTTGGGGGACGTCAACGAGGGGGCCCGCGCACGCCTTCCATAGCTCCATGTACAGATCGTCTTCTCCACCACCTATCAACGTAGAATCAAAGATCACCACCACCAACAACAACAACAAAAAAAATATAGAAGAAGAAGAAGCAGCAGCAGCAGCAGCAGCTCTCTCTCTCTCTCTCTCTCTCTCTCTCTCTCTCTCGCCCTCTAGCTCTTAGAGACACGATCGTGAGGGGAGAGAGAGAGAGAGAGAGAGAGAGAGAGAGAAAAGCGGCTCCTCCAACGCTCCTTTCGGCATTCACCTCGATTCGCCATGCTAACGCGGAATTCGACGAGAGCGGGGTCGCCGGACGATCAGACACGCCTCTGAGATCTCTCTCTCCCTCCCTCTCTCTCTCTCTCCCCTCCTCTCCCCGTGTCTCTCGATCAACAAAGACGGCGTAACGCAAACAGCGCCGCCGCCGCCGCCCGTCCTCCGTCCGTTACACACCGCCGCCGCCACCAGCTTCGACCCCCCCCCCCCCCTCCCCGCAGCAAGAGAACACGCTCACGCGCACACACCCCTCCCCCTCCCCCTCCCCCTCCCCCTCCTCTCTCTCTCTCTCTCTATCTCTCTCTGGAATCGCAGAAGGGAAAACCCACTTCTCCGTGTGCGCGCGTCTCGCCTCTACTGGGTATGCGCGGACCCTCTTTTGTATTCTTTAAAAATCCTTCCTTTCTCTTCTCTCTTTTCCTGTTTTTTTTTCCCTTCGGCCGCGACTCCTCCCCCCCATTTCACTTCGCGCTGTCCGCCATGTATTGGTTAACGCCAGCAGAAGTAACCGCGGTTGGGATTTGACCCCGGGGGGGGGGCCTGGGTTACCTGACGGTCGGGTTTGACGGAGCAGGGACGGGGGAGGGGATCAGGATCAGTCCTCGTGGGCCCCCCCCCACCCCACCTGTCGTGCAGCTCGGTTAAAAAGTATAAAAAAAAAAAAAAAGTGACGATTTGTGTTCGTTAGATTTCACTGAGATGTGAGCAGGATTCGCCGCGCCCCCTACGTGCGGCTAAAAACGTTAGATCTTCTCGAGAGCAGTAAATCGGGCCTGTAGCATCGATTTAACACGAGGGATTTGAGATGGCCGCTTGAATTTCACCAATTACGTGTAAATTGCTATACATCGCGAGCAAATTCTAGAGATCTGAATTTAATCGCTCCACGAGACTTACATGACGTTTCGTGAGCAGGTTCCCGAGCTCATGTCCCCCTGGATAATTGACAGAAACCGTGGGACTATCGTAGAATAGGTGCAACCCGCACTATGTACAAGAGTAGTTGGAGATTCATGAAGTGCGCGCGGAGGAAATTCCCTTTGTAGAACCAATTAACGTTCGGGGTTTCAACACGATTGTCCTTCCTTGAAAGAGTACCTCGCGGCAAACAGTACGAGCGAAACCGAAATTTAGACCTACCGCTATCATTTGAATTTTTTGTACTAGGATTATCAAAGACCTAAAAAAGAACTGCGGGTGATTTACTCAAATGAACCTTGATGCATCAATACTAAACTATCGATACTGAGCTCCTCCTAAATTGTTTTGTTAAAAAAAGTTACTTTCTGAATAAAAGATAAGAACATCTGAAAATAAATTAAATTGATCACGGGGCTCCCAACCACTCGAATCCCAAATCCACGTCGAACGCATTGCGCGCTCGAATATGGTAAGCGAGTGTTGATTTTCTTTTAATTATGGGGGAACAATCACATCCGCCGTGGCAAACCCCAGATCAAGTTTCGTAACACGTTTATCTCGTACCACCGAGAGGACGATTTAGCGAAGTGACCGTGCTAAAAGAGTCGAAAATTTCTCTATCCCACCCCCCACAGCAGCTACCTCAACAAAACCCAGCACGTTCGATCATGAATTTAGACTCCGTTTATTTCGCAAAAAATATAACATTTTTTCTGGAAAATGTTTATAAGAAGTCGTTTTTCATGAAAATGACTATATTTTTTGGTATCTGGTTGAAGCCTGAAAATGAAATAAAAAACATTTTTCACCATTTGGTAGGAAAAATCTAAAAATTACCAAAGAATTCGAATTTTTAAATTTTTTTCTTTTTTTTTTTCCTTCTTTCTCGGCCAATGGCCAGTGGCCGGCCACAAGCAAGGGATGAGCTCACCGGCCTTGGGCGAGGCCCATGATCTATTGCTAACCGTGCTCGTGGTCAGCCACCGGGTGAGGGAGAAGGGAAAAGAAAAAAAAAAGAAAAAGAGAAAAAAATTTCAAAATTTAAAATAATTAAAACTACAAATTTTTTTAAAATATTTTTATAAAAACAAACATTTCATTGATCATAGACCCGAGCTTGAACGTCGAGGACCCACGCACGGCCTTTGTGGACCAAAGCTTGAGTGTCAGCAACTCGAGCATAGCTTTTACGAGCCTACAAGCACCAGGGGTTCAACCCCCGCCTCGATGGACTCGGGCTCAGCCCTGATGGATCCGGGCTAGGCTAATGGAGACTTGGTCCCGAACGCCAGGACCTGAGAACCAAAATTAGGATTTTCGTGCCTAACCGTAAAGTTTTGGATTCAAGCGCCGACACTTAATCACATATTAGAAAAATGTTTTCCAACTTCTCAAAGGAAAAAATCATTTTCTCGAATTTAAGAATAAGTCTTCCATTGACTGAAGAAAATATTTTTCGTCGACTCATTTTTCAAAACGAACCAAATGCTTGAAAATGATGATAATGTTTTTTCGAAAGATATTTTTTCACGAAACAAACGAAATCTTACTAATTCTCCCCTTTTTTTTTTTATACTTTACTCGAAGGTAAAATAATCTCGTTGTCCCATGGTAACATATTTCGCTTTTTTCTTTTTTTTTTTGTGGCCTTGGTCAAGAGGTGATATCAGGCTGACGAGGTAACAATTCCACCGCCCTTTTTCTCCAGAGCAGGCGTACGTATGGTCCCTTTTTTAATATCAGACCACCAGATGGCAGGGGAAGGGCGTGTGGTCCGGACGTAACGGAAGTCGTTAGGTGGAGCCGCCGTCACCGTTACCTTCACCGTCGCCGTTCCCGTGATCCCGCCGTCCCTTTCGTTGTCTGCTTCGCAGCAGGCAACAGGTTTGGCCCGGGTTTACCCAGCACAATTTTTTTTTGGGAGATGCCTTTCATTTATTTCGTTTTCCCTAATTTAATTTATAACCTTCCCCTCTATTTTTATTTTTGTATTAGCTCCCCGTACCTCGATAACCGGGGACGAGCCTTGGATCCTCAGCGATGATGGTTCAAAGCTGAGGAAGCAAGCTTCTAATTAGGGTAGTCCCGCTTATCCAGATAATCCTGACAGGTTTACAGGACTGCGTTCCTTATTTTAAATATATAAATACTCCATGCCCACCAATTTTTATTTCCTCTCTATGGAGAATGCTCCCGAGTTTAACCTTCCAGAGTTCAGACCGAAGAAATTTCACGACATGCTCGGGTCAATAATATATATATATATTAAAATAAAATAAAGAATTAATTTGTTTCGCGGGAGGATTTATGGACTGAATATTGGGGGTTGGGGGTGGCGGGATTTGACCCGCGGGTGGAGGTGAAAACTACGTGGCCCGTGCCATTGGTCCGGGGGACCAATCAAAAAAAGAGGTGATGGAGAGACATCGCCGTACCATTGGATGGTGACGTTTCCATGTTGTTTGTTGTTGTTTTGTTTGTTTTCTTCTCCCCGTCGTACGACAGCCCCCCCAATCCCGTTTCACACACGTGAGAAGGCCCGAGCCCCGCATTCCCACGTGTCGGCCCCTCCTGCTGGAGGGTGACGTGGACAAATACGAACAGTTTTTCTTGCGGATCGATCGTCTACAGGAAGAGAAGCGCGTGATCTTAAAACGAAGGGAAAATTACACAGATAGTTCATAAACTTTAATTTAATGTGTAATTTGATTCATGAATTTTTAATTTGTTCAATGTAATCCTTGAACTTCAGCCGAATGTTCAATTTGATCCCTGAATTTTTAATTTGTTTAATGTGGTCCCCGGACTTTTAGTACATGTTCAATTTAGTCCCTGAACTATATGAAAATGTTCAATGTAGTCCTTCAATTAATTCAAGTTCAGGGACTATATTGAATATTTTCATATAATTCAGAGACTAAATTGAACATATACCAAAAGTCCAAGGATTACATTGAACATATTAAAAGTTCAGGGACTAAATTGAACATTAAGCTAAAATTCAGGGACTATATTGAACAAATTAAAAGTTCAGGGACCAAATTGCACATTGGGTCAAAGTTCAGGGACTGCTTGTGCCATTATCCCTAAAATGAATACGGATACGACTATCAAAAACAGATATGAACGTTGTCTTTTTTTTTTTGTCCGGGAACCGGTCCAATTATTGTTTTGTCCGGAAAAAAATTCGAGTTTCTATAATGAAATATACATAGTCGCGTCATTTCGTTATAAAAATATTTGTTAATCGATTGGTCATATTATTATTGTCCGCTCAATTATCCATGTGCGCGAAAGTGTTTTTATTTTTTATTTCCTAAGGACCCGGTTTTAGGTTCCTAGATTAAATCGAACCTTGTGCTCGTCCCCAATATTATGCTCGTGCGATAGTTTGTCATGTCTACCCAGACAATCCACGATCATGAAAAGGTCATCTGGTCATCCTTCTTTAATAAAGAAAGATAATGGAGTAACTCATATGACTGTCGTCATGGATATTAGCACGAGGGCACCACACAAATTACGGAATGTTCGAATTTGGGACTTGCAAAGAGATCGTCGCTCGGCGGCATCGCTTGCGACTAAATCCAAAATAGACAAGTCCTGTCATCCTTCTTCGTAGCCTTCAATCATTTTTCGTTTGGGAGAAAATGGGAAAATTTATAATGTTCGAAACTTGTTCAAGCACCTCCTCAATATTCCGGAAGCACCATTATACAATTCCTATTACGAGAACACTATGTTATTGTCTACTTATGCTCTATTTTCTTTAAAGCTTGCCGCACATACTTTTCCAAACGAATGCAAATGCACCATTATATTTTTAGACATCGTAATTGTGATATTTTGTAAGACCACTGCTAATTTTTATAAAAGTTTAAGCTATTAGATTAATGCGTGATTTAATATTTAATTGTTCTATCACTCCCCGTCGCACGTAATCTGGTCTTTTTGATCAGTACTAAGCGTAGACATATTTAATCGAGGAGGTAAGTGGAGCATGGTAATATTCGAACTCGAGGACCTTCTGCTCTGATACCGTGTGAGATTTTGTGAGATCATTGTCAACTTTTTTAAAAATTTAAGCTAAGCGTGGTTTAATATTTAATTATTATATTAGCAATTTCGTATTATCACCTCGTCACTTTTGCTTAAGGCATGACTAAATTCCTTAACAATACACTCGATTTGAATACGTATGTTTCGTGTAGTTGTACCGCACAACGTTTCTT